CGTTTTGTCGGATGTCGTCCGACGACTGTCGCTTACTTAAAACAATTTTCGGCGGAGGGACTTTCCTTCGCCGAGAGAAATGACAAACAGCCGAGCGGGGGATTACATAAATTAGGCACTCGCCGGCAATTCGAAATTAAAGTGCAATTCATATTCGGAGATACCACACTCAGTGGGGATTTATGGTGACCATTAGCTTTTCGGGGGTGGTGGTCGTCCCGCTGCGGTTCCAATACATATCTGGAAATCCGGCACAAGTGGAGCTCGTAAACAAACATTACAATTAAGTTTTATGCGACAGACATTTGCGCTTATAAACTCGGCGAAAATATTGGTTGGACTAAAAGCCAGTTGCGGATTTTCGCAGGAGAGGATGAGGAGGAGGAGGTACAGGTTTTCAACAGCTACAGGTTTTCCACTTTATGAGTGTTGGACTAATCAAAAAGAAAAAAAAAAGGAAAAAAGAAACAGCGACAACAATCAAAAAATCTTGCGGTGGGTCTCGTCGTGACTCAGATGCGTTGTAATCAGGCTAGGCGACTTTATGCAACGCCCGTAAATTTCCTAACCCGATCCACCCACCCACCACTGACCACTCGAGAGGCCTTATCACCAGAGACCCCTCTCTTATCACCAAACCACCCGATCCGAACAACTCCCACTCGAAGTGGGCGGCGGCGGCGGCGGCGGTGGGCAGCTGTCCAGTAAATAGAATTGTTTTTTTCGCCGCGAGAAATTCATGAATTGCGACTCGAGCAGTGACGTAAATCGAAGGACAGATAGGCCAGATCGTATATAGTGTATATACGGTTTCCCGCTGATGATAACACACACCCGACCATGTGCGGTGGGTGGCCGCAATCGCAATCGAGCAATCTCCGCTCACGATTTTATTCTAACTTTGTTTTCGTCTCTATTTTCTATTTCCCCCAGCGGGCAGCACTCGGCATTTATTTATATGTGCGTTTAATGCTCATTCAATCCGTAATCAGCGATCTATGTAGTCCAATGACGTTAATTGAAACTACTCGAGATTAAAAGTTGTTTTCAAGTACGTGCTGCGGCCGCCTCGCCAATGGCCCCCACCGACACTAAAATTTGGTTCATTGAGGATTGACTTGTGTGTGGTTCCCTGCTGATATGCCAAAAAAAAAGTGGCAAAGAATTAAAATAAAAATAAAATAAATATATATTTAACAATGACCACAGTGGCGGTGGTGGTGGGAACTGTGCTATCTTAAGTAAACCTCAGACTGAAATGGTTGCTGATAAACTCGTGTTTAGTCTGGGAAAATGAAACCACAAGAAGTCAATTGGGTTTAAGTTTTAAGATATGAAAATTGTAAGGAGTTAGGTTAATATTTAGGATATATTTTCTTTACATTTATTTGTTTCTTATCTTATTTCAAATGGATATTAATAGTATCATATCTTTTCTAGATTTTAATAAATTTTTACTATTAAAACTTTAAAGGATTGCCTGTGTCTCCTAAGTCCCTCTAAAAATCCCAATTTAATTAGAGAAATTAAGACAAAGTCTGAATTAGATCAGTTCGCTGGAAATAACTCTGATTCTATGTGGGACAAAATGGCCCATCTCTTCCCCTGCTAATTGAAGGGGTGTGATCCGGCGGAATGGATCACTGGCGATCCTCCTCCTCCGCCAAGCGGAGGCTCTAATGAAAAACAAAACGTTTATCAAATGCATGATAACAACGCATGTCCAGGGCCGATCCGATCCGATTCGATCGGGGGCCCTATCAGATGTCGGGAAGATCGCCACTTTGGTCCGACCGAAAGGTGTTAAACTCTTGCCAACTGCGGCAGACATGGCAGGCACAGTCTTTGTTTTATTGTTTAACGCATTCCAATTAACATCTCCAATGATCTGTCTGATTGTGTGTCTCTCTTAACGCACACGTGATGATTGAATTTTAATTTTAGCTTGGCAACTCTGGGCCAAAAAGCTTTAACCCTTGAAAATGAACACCTTCGCCGCCTCCATCCATTTTACATTTTTCTTTTTTATATTTTTTTTTTCTGAACCGGGCACGACTAATCCAAATCAAATGGCTTCTCCAAATCAATTCGTTTTCAATCGTTTAAAGTTAATTAACGCGCCAGAATTTTATTTCACTTTACACATTCCTCTTTCACTTCTACAGTCGCTGCTTCTCCTACTCCACCTTCGCCTTTTGTTCATTTACACGCTTTTGTTTTGCTGTAAATTTATTTTATGTTTTTACCTTTTTAAACTTTTGTTTTCCTTTTTTTTTAACCCGCGTATTGTGTGCATTTTTGTTGCTGCTTATTTCGCCCAACGTCTCAATTTCAATGCGCGCTCTTTTGTTGTTCTTGCCATTTGGTTTGTATTAAAATTGTTAATTTAAGGCTGTGTCAGAAATAAATTAACCAATGAACCAGGGACCTTAGCACAACCCACTGAAAGGGGGCAGGAAGAGGAGGGAGATACACTAAGAAAATTACAAACTAAAAGAGGTTTGGTAGCAAAGGAGATAGAGTTTTCAAAATTTTAAAAATATTTTACTAAGAAGAAAATATTTAAAAATAAGTTTTCGAATCATTCTTTATTCTATTAAATTTTAAATAAAAATAAATATATAATATTCCTATATTTTTATTGATTTAATGATCAAAAAAGAACTTGAATTGTTTTTTTGAATTTAATTCTTTAAAATTCTTTTAACTTATAAATACAAATAAGTATTTAATAATAAGCTTATATTATTTTCTCCTAGTGTATAGAAAATAGTGAGAAATGGGGAGCAGAAAGCCGAATGCCGAGTGCTTGTGTTGTGTGTGGAAAATGCAAATTGCAGCTGACTCCGTTCTGTGCGCCTCGAAAAATGGCGTCGTGCGGGTGAGGCTCTCAACCTCGAACCCGAAACCACTGAACACCGCCGCACCACCTGAGTTAAGTGCACCCACCCGCTGCTCTCCCCTACCTCCCCTTTTTAAGGCTGCTTTATATGCCAAAAGCAGTGGGTCCGATCGGCAGACGTCGCCGTTCGTCATATATGGCGCGGTGCGTATAAAGCCCGGGGAATCGGAGGAGCCGAGGAGACCGGAGATGTCGGAGGAAAACTGGGGAAAAATCACTCGCCAGACTCGCGCGACATATTGAGAAATGTGCAATAGCCTAATGCCCATTTATGGCATCACTTTTCATGGCAAGTTGCATTTATCGCCGATCGAATCGGAATCGGAATCGGTTTAGAGCGATCGATCAAACGTTTGGCTTGCGAGACAGCTTGAAAAACAAAAACAGCCTAGAATTTTGATTTCTAGGGTATCTCAAAGACACAGGAGTTTATGCTAATTTTTCAAGTGTCAATAGAAAGAAGGAAAATTATTGAGTTTATTTGCAATTTAAGAAAACACAGGTCTTTAACCAAGGATTACGTGTACTCCGAAAACTGTATTCATTTATCAATAACATGTTTAAATAAATTTTAAGAATCTTGAAGAATTCTCTGTCATAACATGAAGCAATAAGTAAATTAATATTCTAGGAAATAAATTTAAGAAGTTCCTTTCTTGATTCAAAACAATTTTATTAAACATACAGCCTCCTTATTCTTATAATTTACTCCTTGATTTATTACTTGATTTTTGGTTGATTTTAATTTGTATAAATATATTCTGTTGGAATACTTGTACACATCGAACCCACCTTCGACAGCTCTTCTGTCATGCCTTTAAATGGTATAAATTACCAATGAATGACATACGATTTAATTGCCCGGGCTGCTAGTAACTAGTAACTAGCAACTAGCAACTTGCAACTAGCAACTTGCAACCAGCAACTTCTGCTGCATACAGATCAGTTTGCGAGAGATGTTGCCAGTTGCTGGAATTAATTAATATTGCACTTTTGAAGCGCGTGCATACAAATTTGTCAGCTAGTCTGAGGCTCAGGTGTAGACAATTGGCATAGTTCACATACACGGAAACAAATGGGGAAATATTCAAGAATGTTAAGCAGAATTTAATGTATATTTAAGGGGAAAGCTATTTGTAAGGTAGATAGAACCTTTTCAAAAGTAAGAGAGTAGGAAATGTTGCTTGAACATTTCCCAAGAAAATATTGAGATCAACGATCAAACCCACTTATCATATTCATATTTATATCCTTTCAATCCCTTGTTTTTCTCTCTGTACAAGAGCATATGTCTGCTTTTGGCCAGGATGGGCAATTAAAATTGCAAAGAACTGGAAATGGAACTGGGAACTCGAACTGGGGGCTAAGGGTCTATCTAGCTTGCAGGCTCTACTATCGCTGACTCTGGCTTTGGCTTCAGCTTCAGCTTCAGCTTTGGCTTTGGCTTCGGCTTGGCTTGGGTGTTGTGTGCGTCAATTTGCCAGGAGATCGGCGATGTCAAGTCGCACAGCGCCGATTGACGTCAAACTCTGATAGAGAATCGGAATCGGCATCGGAATGGTATACTCAGATGATGCCTCCTCCGGAGGGGGCCTGTGCCTGTTGTGGGCTGATATGAACTCATCATCAGTCCATCATTCATATGTGCAATCGATTGCACAGTCACATCAATAATATATAAAATATATATACTTTCAGATCTGATATTACGCTGAGGCACAAACTGAAAACCGATCGCCAGAGTAACTGGAGCTGTTTGCTTTTGACACATTTTTGGGGTATATTTTTAAACAAAATGCTGACTTTGGCAAGAGTGAGTAATGTCTTTTATAAATGGAATAATTTTGATTTAGAAATGTTGAAAGAATTGTAAATATTTACTCATTAGGAAGAGTAGATATTTGGACACTGATTAAACCTAACAATTTTAAACATAAATCGTTAGTTGTTTTTTAAATCACTAAATTTTAAATCACTAAATTTTATATATATTTCCTCTTGATATCCATGACTTTTCATATTATTTATTTGTGTTTTTTTGGCCACCCAAAAAATTGTGTTTCTTTAGGGAGATCGTTGAAGCCGTCGGCAAACTCACCTTGATTTTTTTTTGGGTATTTATTTGTGAGTGGGAATTATCCAAGCATTATCCAATTTGCGGCAGCCACTATTAGATTATATTTTTTGTAGGCTTTTCTTTAGCTGTGGTGTTTCTCTGTGTAAACTCTAATGGCTAATATTAAAATATCACACTTCTTTTTGCTTTGTTTTGTTTTGTTTTGACGTATTATGTGAGGGTTATGCTGCGCTTGCGTGTGTGCTGCGTGGTTAATTGATATAAATAGGCTTAATTTGTGGTATTACTTTTGTTGTAAGACACTTGAATGGCAACGCACTTTTACACTTGCATATTTCGCATTTGTTGTAATTTATATATTTTGCTGTTTGGCAAGTTTACATTTTCTTTTTTGTTTTGAGAGAGCGTTTAAATGTGGATTATTGTTTCACGCGCGATCAGTTGCCGCATTGTGTTGCATGTTTCTCGGCTCGCGGTCTCGTCGCGTCAACGTGCGAATAACAAATAACGAAAACGAACGAAACGAAACGAAACGAACGAAACGGATTTCCCAAAGCCAACGGCGGTTTTTCCGACGCAGCGTCGTCGTCGGCAGCGCTTCGGGTGGCGGCAGCAGCAACACACACACACACACACACACACACACACACAGACGACCAACCACCGCGGAGGTGGAGCGGGCAGAGTGGAGGGAGTGGAGAGTGTAGAGAGCGGAGAGCGAAAGGCACTCGGCACACGCACTTGGCCAAACACCGGAGCTTTGCGTAGAATTAAAGAACTGAAAGACGCGTCTTCGTAGTCGGCGGAAGAAATGCTTTTTGCGGCAGCGCGTGCGGAACGTTAGTGAACCTGAACCGACACTGCCCAGCAAGATACAGATACTGACTTCTGAGTAGAATCCACAGCGGTGCCGCAGCGGCAGCAGCAGCGGATACACCAATACCAGCAAGCCTCGGGCCACACCAACACCGACGCAGGCGGGCCTTGCTTTCGGTGTGTGCGTGAACCAGTCTGGGCCTCTCATTCGCCGGATAAAGTTCAGAGAGAGAGCGAGCTGCCTGCTCAAAGAGAGTGACAGAGCAAGCGAGGCAGCACGTGCAAAAGCCGTTTGTTTTTTTTTTTTCCTTACTCTCTGGTGTTGTTGTTGTTGCTGCTGCAGCTGTGGGAGCTCAACACCCACTCCAGTATCGCTCCCTCTCTCTTTTTGGCCTCTGTAGTTGTTGTTTATGGCTGCGTGGGTTTCTAATTGCTCAAAACTCTCTATGCCAATGAAAAGCACTCGGGCTGCGTTTTCAGCTTTTTTGGTGTTGCTTTGCTCGCTGGCCTGGTCCGCCGGCTGGGGCTCCGAAGAAATAGGCACCTCCCACTTCACGGATTCACACGGATTTACGGACTTACAGATTCACACGACGGCTTTATATAATCGTGACGTTGGGGAAGATGAACCTCTTCAGATTGGGAGATTTGAAGGGGTATCTTTGGGAAAGACTTCACGGAACCATGGCTGATTGAATCCAATCTCTGGCCTTTAAACTTGGTTGTTTTTTGGGTCACTGAACAAAGTTCCTTAATTATTAAAAATATTACCTCCAAGGAAAATTTTAAAATATACCTTTATTTACAATAGAAATATTAAAAAAGGTTTCTTAGATACATCTTCGTCGTTTATTTTTGTTTTTACTACTAAGAAGTACTTATTTTGATTTAAAAACGTATTATTTAATTTAGTTAAGGCTGAAACTTTATTTTTTTCACGTATTTTAGTAATTTTAGACATGAACTGTAACCACCAATAAAACATAAATAAAAATGTACAGAGCAAATTAAAGGAATTAGGAGGAGTATTGCGAGAATTATTTTATTAAATAATCTCGTAGTCAAAACCCTTAGAAATAATAAATAAAATGGGAAACCTTCCCAAATATCCCAAAATCTTTGTCATTAAAACTAAATATTATTTCAATCAATATTACCGATTTCCTTTATGCACGCTAAATAAACACATATTTATTATGAAGTTATACTCTTCAGATACTTACAAGTAAAATTACCCCGATAGCTTTGTGTAGTAACTGAAGAATTCACAAGCTAATATTTTCTTAATTTTACCCATCATTCCATGAGATAACATTATAATATCCCAAAAACATGGTTTAATTATTTCAAAGATTTACATTTAAATAGACACTTGCTTTGGTCAATATTTGCATACAAATATTCAATATTAAACTACATTATTCTTATTAAAATATATATTTAACATATAAAACGCAAAAGAATCTAAGGCATTTCGTTGATAAAATCCTCTTTTCCTTAATAAAATCTTTTCATTTATAAGCTGCACATAAAATAAACACAAATATAATTTCTCATTTGTATCTGTTAGATGCAATTATTGATTCATTCATTTATTTTCCTCAGAAAACCAAAACTAAACCATAAGAAAATCTCAGACGGCTGTAACTGCGGATAAAATCACCGGATAAAATGCGAAGGCGCTCTCTCTCTCTCTCTCACCTACACCTTACACAGATACACGCTCTCGTTCTCAGTATCTCTGCGCTCTCGTGAGAAATGCCGGCAAAACAATCTCACGGATATGAATTTGAAATGCCGATGCAGCCGAGAGCGAGAGAGAGCGCGTGTATCTGTGTGAGAGATTGCGACGCAGCTGCCGAGTGCCGCTGCAGACGTGTGTGTGTGTCCAGGTGAGTGTGAGTGTGTTTACAAAACAAAAACCGAATTGAGAAAAAAACAAAAAAAAAAAAGGTGAAGGCAAAAGCATGCCAAGCAGCAGCAGCAGCGCAGCAACAACTACAATTTGTGAATGAACGAATAGTAGCACACGCACACACAGGCACCACTCACACACACAGGCCGAGATACTCAGTGGTGTGCGTGTATTGTGGGCAGGGAAAATAAACGAGACGCGAAACGCGTTTACGCGATTCGTACAAAAATTCGTGGGTTCGCTTCGAGAGCAACACGGTGTAGGTGTGTATGCAAATACAGCTATATAACTCAATACATGTGTTTGTCAGGGTGTGCGTGGTGTGTGCGTGTGTGTGGGATAAGCAACAACAATGAGTTATTGAAATGAGACGGCGACAAAAAGCGAAAAGCAAACCAAAATGGTGTAGGTTAAAAAGTGATCAACGATCGGCTATCGGTGAGATATATATCGATACGATATATACCCGTTTGTGTGGGTAAAATCGGGGGTGGGGTGTCTACACATACAGCCAACACAATTCGCCTATTTGTTGATTTGTTGATTTCTTGATGAAGTCGTTCGAGTTGGCGACATTTTTCCAGCTGCCTACTGTTTGCCGATAAATACTGGGTAATTTGTTGGGACCACGGGGCGTATGATTATTTTAAATAAAATGATTATTTACACAAAGTTCTTTTAATGGAATTAAAATGGTTTTAAATGTTAAATATCTTTTCAGTTATTTATTTTTTAATTTTCATAAGAAATTACATTTTTTAGTATCTCGTATAGTAGGTCTTTTATATATTTGGCAAAATCATAGTTTATACATTCATAAAAGACTGAAATTTTGAATTTACAGTCTACCTACTCTATTTACTCTATCCAAACTATTTATTCTGTAAAAGAAGAGCTTAGCATAGGTCATTTCTTTCTAATATTTTAAATCCTGCATATTTTATCATAAATATTTAACAATAAATATGTTTTAAATTCTATTCCCATTTAAAATAAGTATGACGGGTATTTATAATTCGATTACCACTTCTCCCAGGGCCTTCACCGTCGCGGCATTGTGGCGTGTTTTAGTCTGAGCCATATGAGTGCGCTAAGTACATTTCAGTGTCGCTGAGGCCTACGCCCGAAATTGAGATGAAATGAAATTAATATCAATACAAATTCGTACCCCGCAGACCGGACGGCAATCAAGGCAAAAGTTCTCGCCTTTATTTCAATGCTGCGATTTCGAGTGCAGCTGCAGCAGGGGAATGTGTCGCTGCGAGATTCCTTTGCATCGCAGTGCCCTTTGTGCTGGAAATCTTCCCACGGTTTGGCCCAGTCATCATCGTCAGTTCGCCCTCTCAGGATCTCGGTCTTGGGCCAAGGCCTGCCTTCTTATTGTTGTCCTTGTGGCCACCCCAACAGCAGCAGCAGCACCGCCGCCACCACCGCCGACCCAGCACCAACCCAGCAGCAACCCACCACCAACCCACCCGATTTCAACCCACCACCACCACCTCCGACGATCCCGGGATTCCTATATATCCCCGATCCTAAGACCCAGGTCCCAGATCCCGTTGTGCAACCTCCGTAAAATGTTTTTGTTCCTTTTGGCGGGAAAAACTACGTCAAACGTCTTCGCGGCACAAAAGGCAAGATCTCGTTCAGAGATTTTGTGGCCTGCGGCACTAAATCCGAGAAGCAGGAACCACCCCTATGGGCGGCAGCTTTCTATAGACTCCTGCTGCTCCTTTTTGCTTAGTCAGTCTTTTTATGGGCTTTAATGAGGCGCAGATCGCAATGGGAGGCGAGCGGGCACACATGAGGAAAACTCGCGATAAAGAAAAATAAATTTTCTATTTTGAATTTTTATTAAAAATTTTTTAACCCTGAACTCAAAAACTAATTTTCAGCCCTTCAATATATAAGAAATCTTTTTAAATTAATTATTAAATATTTCATTTTTCTGAAAATGTTCATGATTTTTCATACTTCTTTTAGGAATTCAATGTTCTTTGTCAATTAAATAAAATTAAAACATTTTAGCCATATGGATTTTAAAACCAAAGAAAATCTACGAATATTTTTGAGCTGAAACCTTTTTTTCACTCTGTATAAATCCCAAATCATTGCCATCTTTGACTTTCCCATTCATTAGAAGCGCCGAAACACAATTTTCAATTAAGCACGCAAAAAACGCCAACATCTCTGGCAGATCGAGCAATGCCATTCGCAATTTGCATTTGCAACTGCAACTGGGAGTTTGCTGCAACATAATAGTGCCAGCCGCAGCAGCAACAACAACCTCAGCTGGCGGCGCAATAACCATAAAAGTGGATGACATCCCCAGCACCTTGAGGTGACGCCAACGGCAGGAGATCAGAGGGGAGATTTGACCAAGAGACTGGATCTTTATGCTGGGCGTTATTCTGGGGGTCAGGTGGAGAGATGTTGCCGGCTCCAATTAAAAAAATCTAATTTGCATGCTAGTGTCGGGTCTTCTCACCTTTTCGAGATTCCCACGGATAAGACAGGCTCCGGAGAGATTCTGATAGAAGACAGGAGACACTCATGATTTAAAACCAACAGCTGGCAGAATTTTTAATCACAGAAATCTTTGGAGAAACTGAACAAAACTGTAAAGTATACAGTTTTCATAAATAAGCTACAATTTGAAGAGAAATAATTATATTCATTAATTATATTTCTTAGGTAAAAACTAACTTATATCTTAGTAGGTTAAATATATTCAACTGTTTATTGATATTATTGTTTTAAGCTAAAGGGAATTCCCCTTCCTTTTGTCTCCGAGTTGTCTTAAGCTTTCTGGGAAACTTTCTTTGGCTCACATGGCGTGATTGATGAGGCCACTGATGATGGCAAATTAAACTCAATCAAACGATTACTGATTCAATGGATGATTTACTATTTATAGAAGCTTCATTAGAGCCAAGGAATTCGAAGAGATCGATGGCAGAAGTATGCTCGAAATCATTTCGAAATTTTCACCAACTTCCGCAGAAGCTCTGATGATCCCTCGCCACCAGCATGTTTACCTATCTATCATAACCTGTCCCGTCTGTTCGTTTGGCTTTTTCAGGCAATTAAGCTCTTCTTGCTGCTCATTTTTTCTAAACTCTTTTTTTTTTTGGCACAACTTTGAGATCTTATCACGGCACTTTGCACTTCCTCCAACACACACGAGCTTGAGACACTATTGTTGGCGTTGTTTTGCGTGTGGTTTCTGTATCTTTTTTTGGGCTTTTTGTTGCCTTTTTGTTTGGCTCTTTGTTGGATTCTGCTACCAACATGAGCTTAAATCACGCGCACGCCCCGAAATCTTGGCCAAGATCTCGGCGGGAAGACAAATCTCGTATGATTTACCTACAGCGTTGAGATGAGTTAACCTTTACTTTGCTGACGAGCTTAGGGGGAGTTGCGGGTGCGACGCCATTTCATTCACAAAAAGTGTTGTCTTAATGAAAATCTCAGCATTTTTTGTTTTTTTTTTTTGTGGTCAGTGGAAGTGGGAAGGTCGCCTGGGATTTGTCTTAAAAGAGGCACATCCAACAAAGTTTAATGACATGCCTCGAGGGGCGTAGACAGAAGCCAATGTTTTGTTCTTTAAACATACGCATCGCCATCGCCCCCCTCTGGCTGCCTCGGCCCTGAGTTAGTTTAATTGATTTTGTTGTTAGTTAGACTGGCACCGATAAATGTTTAGTGTAGTCATTAAATCCAAGTGATTCCACTTCCAGCAGCGTTGTTGCCTTTTTCCTCTACTCAAAAGTAGAGTTGTTACACGCAGAAAAAACTAACTTAAAGTGTGTGAGAAATAGGTAAATTGATTACAAATATTTTGGAGCATGAAGAATTTTCCAGGTAATTAATTTTTTCTTTAAAAAAATCTGTCAATCTTTAACCCAAAGGATACTGTTTTCCTCCTTTATTTTCAAGGGGTTAACTTCTATCAGCTGGCCCGAAAAAGGTGGCTTCCTGAGAATATTTAATGAGAAAAATCCCTCTTATGACCTTTATTTAAATTTGTGTTTTTTTTTTTTTGCGTTTTTATTTAAATTTTAATAGGGGTAAAATTTCTAAAAACCCTTTCACAGCTGAAATAACACCATAAATTGAACCGTTTGACAGGATAAATATTGTCATATATATTTTTTAAGGGGGGAAAGTGCGAATTTAGGACGCCCAAAAAACTCCTCAAAATAATCTTTTCATATTTTCCCTTAGATTGTATGTCAATTTTCAAACAAAATGTAAATATAAAATTTTAAAAACTTCTTTATTTTATTTTCTTATTTTTGATTTAATTTTCCACCATTTTTCTGCCACGTGTAATTGTTCCAAGTTTTTCCAAACGTTGCAGCATTTTCTCACGTCGCTTAAATGGCTTAATAATCCAATCCGAATGCAACATTTTGTGGCCGAGCTTTAAGTTGTTGGTAATCGCTGGACTCCCCCTCGACGGACGGCTCCCCCCGCCATGCGGAGGGGTAGTAACCCGCTTCCGGTCTGCGGTCCTCCTCTCATCAATGAATGAGCCAAGTGAATGAATGAGTGAATGGGGCTATCGTGTGGTTTGTGTGTTAGAAATGCCATAAAAAATGCAACAGCGGCATAAAATTGATTTGATTGCCAAGAAGATGATGATCGAGCAGAAGCCAGAAGCTGGCTGAGGATGAGGATGAGGAGAGATTCCAGATTCGAGAGCAACCGGAGGTGAATCCTACACCCGCCTGAGAGTCTAACTGATTTTGCCCATGGCCATGGGGCAGGTTGTTGCAGATCGTAAAAACCTCTAGACTCCGTTCTCCGATCTCCGATCAGACCCAAGCTCCAGATGTAGGCCGAACCACTTTGATGAGCTGGACTGGACGGAGTGGCTTCCTCAGATTGAGATAGAGCCGGAGACAGAGTCAGTCAGAGATTCGGAGAAAGAAGAGACGGGGTCTCGGCACATTTAGAGATTAACTGGTTTTATTGCTCGATTGGCTATAATATCTTTTATTTACGAGTCTCGGGCTAATTTGAATTTTCAACGTTTTCTTTTTGGGCTCTCGCCTTTTGGCGCGCTCTCTTATTTCTATGGTTTCCCACACTTTTACAGGTGAATGGAGTGGCGTGGAGTGGCCAGCCAGAAAGGTATTTGTGTTTGTGAAAGATTTTTGATCGCATGATTGTTATATTTTATTGATCAGCTTTATATACACATATATAAATGTATATATATTTTTTGAAACGCTTCAGTTTTCGAGGCCGTCGTGTGTGTCTCTTTTTTTTCGTTTCATGTATGTTAATCGTTTATGCGTCTAAGCTCATTTCTCCACCGGAGCTGAGCATTTAATAGTTTAATTTTTATTTGAATGAACAGTTAAGTTTATGCCAAGTAGCCACAGATATTTTTTTCCCCCAGTTACCAGCTTCTTGTGGGAGTTTTTTTAAAGCGTGTGTAATCCTCCGTTTGGTCTTTATTTTGGGTCCCAAAAAAAATAAACATAATTTATGCTGAGAGCTGCCAATCGAACGACTTAGGCAGCGAACTTGAATTGAAAATCGAAAGACTTAAGCAGCGAACGTGAATTGAAGTTTATGCCCCGACGATGATGATGTATCAGTGTTTATGCCGAGATTAAGATAGTCCCCAAGATAGTTCCCAAATGGAAGCCGAAGAGAATGGTTGGGATATATGCCAGCTGAACCTTTTCTTTTGGAATATAATGGAAATTAGTTCCGCTCACTCACAAAGCTCATTAAATGGGAAGTCCCGAGGCAGCTGTCAAGCTTTTTTTTCTTGTATCTTTTGCTGGTTCCCAAACTGCGCAGCAACTGGAAAGTAACCGAAAAAGATTGTAAAAGTGTTCATTAGGCAGGCGCAGCTGCTTACCTTCCCTCCTCCTTCGAGTTTTTTGTGTCCTTTTTCGAGGAGTTAAAATCCCAAGAGAACTGTCAAGAGGGAGGAAGAGATACTCGCCTAAAAAATGGGTGGTATGGGGTGGCCTCTTCCATTGTCCTGGCGGTGGCAGTAAAAGAAGCAGCCGGTCCCGCCTCACGGGGTGGTGGCGTTGGCGAGGTCCTAGCTCCTCGTTTCTTGGTCCTTGGAACGGGATCTCTGACAGCCCCTTAAGTGCGCAATAAGCAATTTCCTCGAAGGGTGGTGCTGGCGGTGGTGGTGGTGGTGGGTTCACATAAATCTTGGCACACAACGTTTTTAACTCGCAACTCGTTTTCCCTAAATGGACAGCTGGCTGCTTCCCTGCCTTTTCTGCCAACGAGATGATCCTCCATTCGACGGGCTTTCGGGCCGTGACAGATTGATAAATATTCCCTAGATTTCCGCAAGATGAGCATTTTTCCAAGGAGGGCTTAGAGGAGGTGAGATAGCCACCCGCCATAGCAGATGAGATCTATACAGAGAGGGAAATATAATATATAAAAGAGTTATAAATCTTAAAAAAATTATTAAAAGAAATTTTTAAACAATTTTTAGGGCTTCCAAGGCAGAAATTGTAGTAAAAACTATAAGTAAATCTTGTAAATTATGTTGTAACCTCTTGTTAAATGCAATCGTTTTAAATTAAAATGTTTTTACAAACCTCAATCCATGTTTACTAATTAATAATTTGTTCAATTTACTTACATTTCAATTATAATTTAATTGAAATCAAGGCAATCATAAACAGACATTCTAATTCCTTTTGCGAGCGACTTTTTTCACTGTGCCCCCAAACAGCTTCGCGTATATATTTATGTCATTAAATTTAAGCATTTTCGTTTAGGCCATTCAGCTGGCCAACCTGTGATTAAGTTGGGCCCTGACTCGGCTCACTGTCTGTCTTTCCCGCCCTCTCTCTCTCTCTCTCTCTGTTGGCCAATTGCATGTCCTGGCTAATAGTTGCAAGCTCCGCCATAAGAAATTCATATGAATTTATAAACGTTTTAGTTTTATTGTGCGTTGCCAGTCGGACTCGGACTCGGACTTGGAGTTGAAGTTGAGTTGGTGGCGGTGGCGGTGGCGGAGACCCCATAGCAGTGATAAATGTTTCCTACGCCAAGGTATTTCACCCGCGGCACCAACAGCGGCTGGAAGAAATCATACAAATGCAAATTTAATTGTAGTTCGCCGCATCCCAGTGGCAGACCCACAAAACGCACAAATATCTCTCGGCGACCGATGATTTCTTTTGCTGCAAATGAATGCTTTCAGCGTGGCACGCAATTTAAGTGGGCGGGGGGCCCGAGGGCATGCTCCAAAGTCCAGGATCCTCGCAGAGACACGGAATCTGTGCCAGAAAAACCCAATGCGAATGCGAATTTATTTGAATTTCTTTAAATGTTTCTTTCTGTCTCTGATTTGGCTAACGGTTGTTCAGGCCGAGACCTCTAAATCAACTTGTTGCAGCAGCTCCACCTTCTGATCCTTTTACCTTTCTCTTAATGCTTTTTTAACGTCTGGCGGCGGCTCATTTAATTGTTTTTTTTTTATAAACATTAACTGGAGTGTATAGTTATTTATTAGGTATTAATTTTTTATGGCCTAGCCAAGTTATCTAAGAGTTTAAAATTTTGTTTTTGCTTTGAAGAAACTCGTTGGATATTAAGTTAATGTTTTGAATCGAAAACAAGCCATTACACCTTAAAAATTATTATAATATTTTTTTTAGAATGCAGTAGAAGGCTTGAAATATTTTTTATTTATCGTCAAAATAATTTAAATTCCTCAAATAATGTTTATTGGCACAGTGTCTAAAAAAAACATATTTTTAAAAATATTTATTGAAACAGATAGTTTTAAAAAAAATTGCTAAATTTTATTCTTACGGATGCTAAAGATCTCCTTTTAATATCAGACAAATTTCTAAGCCCTAAGTAATAATTGCTTATTAAGAATATAGACTAAAGAGTACCTTACCTTTCTTTCTCTGGCGTCTCGCACATGTCACTCTTTTTCCTTAAGGATAAAAACACTTGATCCCCTGGTCTCAACTCTCTAATTGCAGTTACAATTAAAACCGAAATTACCCATACCCTACACAGCTGTTTTGCCACAATTCTGACACCTTTTCCGCTTTAACCGCAATGCGATCAGATGTGATCCTTTCGTCTGCTCAGCTTCCTTTTCCCCTGGCTTCGTGGCTCGTGCGTTTTCGTTTTTCCAGTGTCAGCTGTTATTTCTCTGATTTTCCTTAGCACGACTTCTGTTCCGGTGGCAGCAGCGTCTTTTATATATTTTTATTCTTATTATTTTCCTCAGCCAGCAACTCTGACTGCGCGCCAACGACTTCTTAAGATCAGCCACCAACAGCTGTCCTGGAGCGCTCCTGCCGCTGCTCAAACAAAGGCCAGGGTTTCGTTTGTTTTGTTGGGAGAAGAGGTCAATAATCTTGGCTCGGGTGGGGTGGCTGCAGATTGGCAAATCTTGGTGGTGGAGAAAGAAAATTCTTTGCACGATCTTTGCTAAATTTAATTTCAAGTGCTGGTAGAGAGGCTTCAATTTTTGAGGTTAATGAAAATGTAAAGAAATGAAAGTTATTTGTAAAATCTATATTATTAAGTCTTATTTATAGAAAATATTTAATATTTATAAAGGTTTTTCTTTGGAAATGAAACCCTTATCCAAGAACCCACAAAGATCTTGGTAAAGACCAGCAATGTCATCGGACACCAACAATAATTCTTCAAAAATCCTTAAAATAATTCCACAGTGGCCTTTAAAATGTTAATAATATTACTAATATTAAAAAAAAAAAAATTAATTCCACTTAAAAGTCCTCCTAGAAATATTTCCTACTCCCAAGATTCCTTTAAAGTAATTCCCTTTCCTTGCTATTATCCTGCAATCTCATATATGCTCTTAAATTTCTTTTCTTAAGTATCCAAGATTGTGTCTAGCAATTCCCCGATTAAATCGGAGTCGCCTCCTTCCGCATATCTTACCATGATATCATTAGCACGGCATACAAATATGCAACATTCAGGGCTCAAGGATGTGATGCGGGTGATGATACCCCGCCTCCTCCTCCTTCCTCCTGAGGAAATCTGAAAAATCAGAGACAAAGTGTGCGTTAGGTAGCCGAAAGGAGCTGTAAGAAAGGTAGGAAATTAGATGTTATTGTACAAACGAGACACACCGGGCCGTGGATAATAACAATAATGATGAGCACACCGGAGAGGAGGGCAGCAGCTCGCGCCAAGGGAAGAGGAACGGAACAGCTGATGTGGCAGATGAACTCCCCTCGTTCGGGATACAGAGTTCCTTGGATGGATCATCTGACAGTGGATTCAGGTGCGGGGGTGTTTTGTCTTCAGCTTACCAGCTCCTGTTCCTGCTCACTCTCTGATTTCTTCTTTCTTTTTTCTTAACAGCACGTGGCTGCTTTTGGCGCCTTTTTTTTTGTTGGTTTGTTTTTGACAAATTATTCATCTGAAAGAGTTGAGCGCTGAAAGCAGAGATTGATCGGGTATCCGAGGTATCGGGTTTCGATACTTTGTTGCGCCCACACCGGAAGTGGAACCTCCTTTTGCGGGGCTTCGCAGGAAGGGAAACCCGTCGCAATCTGCATGCAAAGCCATGCAACTTGCAACATTATTGGCAACATGATCGGATGGACGGCGGTGGCAGGAGGCGGACTGTCAGATTGGCAGCTATATTGAGCCAGGCCCAAAGACGGTTATAATTGGCCCAAGGCAGCAACAATTTATCAACGCCGATTGCCATTTGTGTTGACAACTAACATAGTGGACACTCGCCGCCGGACAGTGGATCAGGAAAGGAATGGTTACTGGGTACTCCGTCCAGCTAGTTGGTCTCTGGTCTCCGGTATTCGGTCCCCAAGATCTGAAGTTGGCATGAAGCGTGTTGATTTCGCACTTTACAGCTTGTAAAACCAGCAAAAGGCAGCCAAACAGCCAGCAGCAGCAACAGCACCACCGCATCAGCGCTATGAAATTATTTATTTAATAATCGACAGCGAGTCATGAAAATGGTCAGCAATTGTCGTTAGTTGCAGCCGCTAATTGTGCACGAAAAGCTTCAGTAGCTGCACTGAAAGAAAATGTGTTTAAAGTGGGTAGAATTTGGATTAAAAATATGGTAACTAAGGAATGTGGAAGGGAGAATTTGTTGGCTAAGAAATTAATAAAGGAGTGTTTCAATAATTTAATTTCTGAGAAATAAGTGCTTAAGAAATTTTGATAATTACTTATACTAATGATTTATTATATTATATAAATTAGAATAATTTTTTCTCAAGTAAAACTTCTTTGTTAATATCTTAACACAAGAAAAACCTTTTTTTATAGACTGTGTGATAATGCATTTGTTTATTTATTAATTTCTTCAAGTACTTTTATTGGTGCCAACTTTTTCTTTATAATTCTACACATTTTTTCAGTTATTAAAATTAATGTCTTAGATAATACAGCTTACAACATCTTAACCACTACTGTTGGCTCATTAAATCAAGCTTTATTTTGTGTGTAGCATCGGTGGCATTAGCTGCAGCATCACACAGAATTTATTACGTTTCAATTATGTATATGGGCAAATGTTGGCACAGCCAATTGGCAACGCATAAATCTCTAAGGAGTAGCTGCTCTCCTGCTCCTTCTCTCCGTATCTCACCTTTCTCGCTCCCACTAACAACTTGGCCAAGCTGTCAAATTAGCACGCCAGCAACTTGGCCATTAGCAGTGGCCACTGTTTGCCTTGGCAGCTCTCTGATCTGGCTAATCAGCTTCCTACTCCTTAAGCGGTGGTTGCTGCAACATGCAGCAAGACAGCGGTCTTGGCAACATTCGTGGGATATGGCAACACTGATTTATGCCAAGGGGTCTAATCAGTTCTTATCAGTTTCTGGCTTTCTACTTTTTTCCACTTACCTGGGCCAGAAATTACCAGCAACCCTCGCGGGCAAACAACTTTGTCTTGGGTCTTTCCCTCTTCCCCGTATTGACAGCAGCAGGATGCTGGAGTAGAACTCACTTTCCAATTGGTTTTCCTGGGACTCTAAATTAAGATGAACAAATGGAGGGTTGCTTTAGTGCGGTCTTTGGTGCTGCGTAATTCATATATTCCGCCGGCAGCAGGAGCTGGAGCGGCAACTTAAGCTGCCCCACAGGCCCAACATGCCAGCCATGTGTGTGGTCTCCTCCTGGCTCTGGCTTGCTCCTGGGATGCTGTTGTTGCAACTTTTGTCGTTGTCCCGTGCATAAATCGTGTGAAATATCGCATTTCGCGCATTTTCGCTTCGTGTTAACGAGTGTCACATACGCACACATGAAAACAATCGCCAGCAACAAGCATTTATTTGTCTTTTCTAGAGGAGAACCGAGGAGAATGTGTCTGCTGCTGCTGCTGCAGTTGTCCGAGTTGCTGTGTTGCTACTTGGGCAAGTTGCAGTTGTCGCTGGGTTTGCCCTGGGCATTTGCATATTGACAGCGCTGTGTGATAATGCTGTTGACATTGATATAGCTTCAAAAGTCTGGACTCCAGACTATGGAAACTGTGCTGTGTGGTTGCTGTTGCTGCTGCTGGCTGTTGCTTGTTGCTTGTTACTATGTAGTTGCTGGTTGCTGCTGGCTGCAACGCCCACCAAACAATTGACAGTCAACAACATGCCGGCATGAGGCAGGCGAAAAAAAATTACAGAAATAATGCTAAAAAGAGCGCAGAATCTGATAAAGTTGCGGCTGTTGCGCATGCGCATGTTGCACGCCTACAAAATCATGTTGCACGTCAGTCGAGCGAGCTTTTTACCCTCAAAATATCTGTGAGTGTGCTGTGTGCTAGTGTGTGTTCTGCTTTTGCGGCTCATTTAAATTCTGCAATGATTTTTGCCAAGTACTTGGGCATATATTGCTTCTCAAGGCCGCCTGTGTGTGTGTGGCCATCGCTTTTGGGTTTGGTTGGGGGTTTTGCGCTGACAGACGGCAGCCAAGAAGGCGGGCAATACCCAGATCGGATTTCCAGAAGTACACATTAAGAAAAATAAAGATAATCCATTTTAAATAAAACTTGAATAGGGAAAAGTAAGGTAGAAAAAAGCATAAGCTAACGATTAATGGCAATTTTAAGGATGTGGCAAGTAACTTTTGCAAGCTCAGAAGCCTCGACTTGGTTAGAATATTATATTATTTATATAATTTGTAAATAAATATAATTAAAATACATCACAATCCAACCCTTTTTCTCACCGTGCTTCTCTGGGCGGCAATTGATTCTTAAAAAACGCTGACAACTTACATGTTGCAGCAACATGTTGCCGCGTTGACAAATCGGCCGCATGTATGTACACATATATACTATGTAGATGCAGGCGGATGCAAGCGGAAATTGGAAATTACGGCTAAAATGTTCTGGCCAACAGAGAAAGAAGAGGAAAAAACGAGAGCAAACGCCCACCAAAAATAGGGGCTTGCAGGTAATCCCCTTTCGGGAGAGCAACTAATAATCGCATAATACACGTACCAGGCTAATGATTAACCTGCATCATTATCGCTCCAAGATCTCAGATGAAGGGAGCACCCGATTTTTTTTTCTTGTATTTTCTTGTGCCCATCGAAAATTAGCTGCCGTATCTGCAGAAGCTCTTCCGAACCAGAGTTTGGGCTGGGTTCGGGGGCAGGACAACAAAGCATCCTGCACTTTTACTCGCCCCATTCAAGAAGCAGGAGGAGGATGATGGCCCCGAGGCAAGACCTGCAATCTGGCTTTATTTTATGCGCGGAGCGCGCTTAAAAATGCAGTCAACGTCTCCCTGGATGGGGCAGACAGGAACCTGCCGCTTAGGCGAATGCCTCACGGGCCCCAAAAAGGCAAACGGCCCGACAACAGCCACATCTACAGCGTCAGCACCAGCAGCGGCAGCAGCACAGCAGCAACATCTACAGCGGCAGCAACAAATGGCATTAAAAAAAACCATCACAGGAGAAAATTCACTGCATCCTCCCACTTTTTGCTCGGTACGCGAATGTTGCCTCTAGATGGGCCTATTATGTTGCTGCCACTGCTGCTCCCGATGCTCCCGCTTGTTGTTCGCCAATCATTAAATGCGTTTTTCATACACTCGATTTCGGTTTGAGTTTTGCTTTTTTATGTTTTATTTTTTATGCGGGAGTTGCCGCCGCCGCCGCTGCCTCTGGGATTTTTGATTTATGAAGCAGCAAATGAGTTCGCGAAAGCAGAGCACCATGGGCTGGGCTGGGCTGGCATCCAGCAACGAGAATGTATATCAAGCCAGTATACACCCACACTTCCGGCTGTAAATTGAATTGAGGGCGTGGCCGAGAGCCCCTTTATTTTTGTTTGTGGAAATGGAATGTTGCCTGCGGCCAAGGCACATAATTATGCGCATGTTGCAAGTTGCAGCCAAACATCAAAGTGCCAGCCAGCAGCGGGCAGCTCCAGCTACGACGACGACAAATCGTTGAAAGTTACAGTTTAAGTTGCTGCCGCAGCAGCAGCAACAACTGCTGCTGCCAATCACAGCAGCAACTGCTGCGAGCAGCGGATAATCAGAATTCCAGCATTTTCACCTGTTGCCCGGACTTGTGCAGCTTGACATGTGCCGCACATGCCGCGCTGCCATTTGTCTGCACTTTAATGATGCGCCACATCTAACTGCAACAGCAGCAGCAACAGCAACAGCAGTATTGCTAGTAGCAACTTTCAGCATTCACTGGGTGCACACAGAAAAAACTAGAATATTTAGGTAAGGTTTTAATCTCTATGCACATAATTTATCATTACAATTACCGAATGCAATTTTGTGTCATGGAAATTTACCAAAGAACGCATATGTACGAAGTACGGAAGTAAAATTCGTGTTTCAATAAGCTATAAGTACAAGTCAGTTGCGCTGCTTAGGAACTAGAATTAGAAGCGATCGAGACACAGAATGCCACCCAACGGGAACGATGTCACTGGAGTGCTCTTCGAGACGGATGCAGAGACCAGGGACCTGGGCCTGGCCAAGGACCTTAGCAAGCTGAAGACCACCGATGGCAGGAGGCTGAAGCTGGTCTGGCTCAACATTATCCTGTTTGTGGTAGCGCACACGCTCTCCGTGTACGGCTTGTGGCTGCTCTTCGTAGAGTCCACTTGGACCACTTTCCTAATTTCCCTGCTGCCTTCTTACTCACCGGAGTGGGCATCTCCGGCGGCGCCCATCGTCTGTTCGCTCACCGCACCTTCAAGGCCAACACGCGGCTGAAGCTGATATTCCTCTTTCTGGACACCCTGGCCTTCCAGGATGCAGTATACTACTGGGTGAGGGATCACCGCCTGCACCACAAGTACACGGAGACGGACGCTGATCCGTACAATTCTGAGCGCGGCTGGTGGTTCGCACACATCGGCTGGCTGTGCTGCCGCAAGCACCCTGAAGTGAAGGCCAAGGGCCAGCAGATCGACCTATCCGACCTGGAGAGTGATCCGCTGGTGATGTTCCAGAAGAAATACTACCTCATCCTGATGCCGCTTATCTGCTTTGTCCTGCCCACCGTGCTGCCGATGTGGCTTTGGGGCGAGACCCTGAGAACCTCCTTCTATACGGTGTGCATGCTCCGGTGGGTCCTCAGCCTGAATCTCGTGTGGTTGCTGAATAGTTCGGCTCATATGTTTGGGAATCGGTGTTACGACAAGAATATTAATCCCACGAATGAGCCAGTGCTTATTTGGCTGAAATGTGGCGAAGGCTATCACAACTACCATCACGTTTTTCCGTGGGACTACAAGAGCGCCGAGGGGGGTCACTTTGCCAATGACTTTACAACCAAGTTCATAGTTTTTTGCCAAAATTGGCTGGGCTTATGACCTCAAGAGTGTGCCTGCTGACCTTGTTCAACGACGCGTAGAACGAACCGGAGATGGGACCCATCCCATCTGGGGCTGGGGAGACAAGGACCAAACGGAACAGGATATTGCCAATACTAAAATCATGCACAAACGGAAGGATATGATTTTTAAAGCAATTTAATTGGAATTAAATAATACTTACTATTTTGTATTTATTGTTTTCGCTAGGTACTATATCTGTTATATGAGCTGGATTTATTATTTTGTCGAATAAATACATCAACTGGGACTCACATAAACATAGATAGTTTTTCTGAAAAGACAAGTGCTACCAGTTTATACAATATTTGCGTTGCTGATCGAAGAAGCTATTTGGTAAGCTGCTTTTAATTTGGTTAATTTAAAGGGGCTCACATGTTTTTCAAATTCAAATATAGAGAAAGTGATTCGGTAAATTATAAAAAAGAGCAATCAATTGAATCGCTGGTTGAATTAATTTCCAATTCCAAGCCGTCAACAATTAGCAATTGGTTAATTATTCGCATAGGATTTCAAGGCCGCGTATCGAAATTCTCGTCAATCGAAATTAAAAACAGTACACTAAATTCTAAACATAAGAAAATAAATAAAAAATAGAAAGAAAAAAGAAAAAGTCAAGGTGAGCCTGACTTAATATTACAATTTGTTTACTTCTAGTCTCCAAATAATTTTAGAATCGATTGAAAACAAGCCCAGGCCCCACACAATGATACCGGGAGTGAGATAGGCTAGGTCTTGACTCAGAAACCGTACAGTTTCCATAGTAAGGAGTCGGTGGATTTATGGTGCCATAAATCGGGCGGGGAGGCACTTGAAAAATGCCAGTCCTGACCACACTAATTAGTTTGCCCAAGAGCCCCCGCCGGCGATTGCATAATTTAGGTAGCCAGCACCTTCTCCTTCTCCTGCTGCCGGGCCTCGACCAACAACGCCCACACAACAGAAACAGAGCTTGATTTCCTGGAAAGAGTCGCCGCTCAGGGCCATGCTAATACCTCCACCCTTCCTGGAAGCTGGCCAGATTTCAGAGATCATGGCAGGAGCAGCAGCCGTTACCCGAGGGAACTGTGATCCACATTTGCATAATTGCAGACCAAAGTCGGCGCTGACTTCCCTCTGAAAAAAAGGAAAACGAATAAAAAGAATACAGAAATTATTCCCTTCCGAGTGATTTAAGTTTCCTGAAATGGAGCGATCGAAGAGGAAGTTTGCCGGCCATCGTCGCTTAGAACAGAAGCTGCCCCTCCACCAGAGGCTACTGGGCGGCGTTCAGAGGAGTTTCGGGTGAGTCAGCAGAGATGATTGCTGGGCTTTTCTACTAAAGAACATATCCTAGAACGACGGTGGCCCTTCAGGCTAAGGTGCCCAAGGATGAGGGTAGTTACCTGACGTAAGATTAGCACTCTTTATACTTGCAGTTTTTATATATAAATATTCTCTAAGATCTCAGGAACCTGGAGGCCTTTATTAATGTCCTGAATTGTGCTTTTGGCACAGGATGCTTGGCAATGCCGCGAGCCTTTTTGGATGCAGGCTGGCTTACGGGACTCATAATGACGATTGTCCTGGGCTTCTTCATGGTATATACCATGCATGTTGTGGTAACTAAAACAAATATTTCTTTTAAGATCTTATCTGGGCATAATCTCTTCAGCTAAATGACATCAATTCGATGCAAAAACGCTTTGGAGTGCCCCTGCTTAGTTATGGCAAGAGCATGGAAGTGGCTGTGAGCATGGGTCCTAGAAGATTTCAGTTCCTGGCCAAGCCCATGCAGTGAGTTCTATTTGAGAGTTAAGCCAAGAAAACGATCTATATATTTTCCCCAGTTATTATGTGGACATACTGGTCTCTTTGTATCACTTTGGTGTGGACAGTATCTATGTAGTTTTCATAGCCAAGATCTTGAAGGATTTGGGTGACATATACTTCTGGCCATTGGATGAGAGGCTTTATATGGCCTTGCTCCTGCCGCCCTTGATCTTGACCTTCTTCATACGACAACTGAAGCTTTTAAAACCATTTTCCTTAATTTCCAACTTGATGATAACTATTGGTGAGCTATGTCAGACTTTTTTACTATCTAGCTGCTTAAGATATCTTTACTTATTAGCCTTTCTCATCACCCTGAGCTACCTGTTGCAGGACCTGCCCGAGTTCAGTGAACTTCGTCCCTTTCAGCCACTAAAAAGTCTGCCTTTAGTCTTTGGAACACTTCTCTTTTCCATTGAATCAATTGGAGTGGTGAGTTGATAATAACATAGAACCCTTTTATGCTTGACTTAATCGAGCTTTTGTACCCCCTAGATATTGACCATTCTTCGCAGAATGCAAACACCGGCGGACTTCCTGGGAACCTGCGGAGTCCTTAATCGTGGCATGGCCGTGGTAATACTCTTTTATGCAGGATTTGGAGTCCTTGGCTATTGGCGTTACGGCCAGCATACGGCAAGCTCAGTTCTGCACAATCTGCCCATGGACGAAATGTGGGTTTTCCCTGAGAAAATAACCCTCCTGTTTATTTTATTTCTTTTCCCTCAGCCTCACCCAGCTAGTAGCTGGATTCTTTGCTTTAGGAGTCTTCTTCAGCTACGCTTTGAGTGGCTACGTTACCGTGGACATCATCTGGCATGGATATATGGAACAGAAAATGGAGGCTGGCCACTCATCCAAGATGGTGAAGTGCCTGGTCCAGATAGCCTTGGTGATTGCCTCGGTTCTGGTGGCCATCCTGTTTCCAGATTTCTGGCTACTGCTATCCATTGTGGGCTCCTTTTGCATGGCCCAGCTGGGTCTTATCTTTCCGGGCATCTTGGATCTTTGTGTTCAGTATGAGGAAGGCTACGGACCCGGCAGGATCCTACTCTGGCGATCGATGATCTTTATTGCAGGTGGTCTGGCCGGCGGTGTGGCCGGCACATTGCATTGCAGTGGCTTCGATGAGCAACCTTAGTGATCAATTTACCATTATTAGGTGATGTGTCTCAAATAGCAAAATATAAATTAATTCTAATAGATTTTTGAACATTTATTTATATATATTTTTGGTATGGTTCACTAGCGATTATTATAACTTCTTTCCATAGAGCTTATATTTGTTCATCTCACACCCAATGCTATTCATGTCATATATATTGACTTGCTCATTCATAATTAGTTTTTGGCTAAATTTTTAAATACAAAATAAACTCTCTTTAAATTAATAAAGTATGGACGATAAAGAGTAAGGAGGAATTCTAAAGGCCTGAATTGTTTTTTAAACTTATGGTATCTTCCACAGGGTCGTCTACAATCCGTACAATAATCGAAATGAGGGTTCCCCGATGTCGTAAGTTACAAGTCTTTATTCTTTTCATTCTTTAGACTTTTAATTCGTATTTCTTTATAGAAACTTTGGAGCCTTTGTGAGCTTACTGAGCTGTGTGGTTGGCGTGGGAGTCCTGGCCCTACCCTTGGGATTTTTCTTCGCCGGAATCTTGAATGGCCTCTTTCTGCTGATTGTGCTCGCCCTCCTCCTCATCCATGGCATGCACGTGCTAGTAAGTTCCTAACTATCTTTTTTTAAATCGCTATATATTTATTTGTCTTCTCAGATACATAGTATGGTGGAGTGCTCTCGCCGCATGGAAATCGGTTATGCCAACTATAAGGAGTCTGTGGTCTATGCCTTTAAGCAGGGACCCGGGTGCTTCAGGGGCTGTGCCAATGCCGCAGGCTGCTTCGTCGACTTGGTGCTATGCCTCTCCCACTACAGCATGTGTGTGGTGTACCTTATTTTCGTGTCCGTTGGCTTTAAATACATTTTGGACCAGTATACTGTGGCATTAGATCTACGCATCTACGTGACAATATGTGGACTACTTAGCATCCCCACTTTCCTGATCCGGAAGCTCACCAGCCTGGTTTCCGTCAACCTGCTGTCCAATGTGCTGTCTTACTTCGGCTTCCTGTTCATGTTCTACTTCCTGTTCAGAGGTCTGTCTCCGATCACCGATCGTCGCTTTTTACTCGGCGATGTACAGAAGGCAGCCCTCTTCCTTGGTATTGTCCTGTTCTCCATCAGCTCCGTGGGAGTGGTAAGTCTCGTCAGGCTCATAGAAATGGAGATGGTAACTCCCCTTACAGATGCTGGCCATCGAGTCGAAGATGGAAACGCCGCAGGACCTCATCGGTTGCTGTGGTATGCTCAACATGTCCATCCTGGTGGTTTTGATCTCGTACACAGTCTTTGGGATCTTTGGCTACTGGCGTTTCGGTGACAAGGTAGCTAGCAGTATTTCCCTGAACCTGCCCAAACGTGAAATGTGAGTTTCCAAATGAAAATGTATTAATCTCAAATTTAATATCATATTTTTTTGTTCAGTGTTGCAATGGTCTCCAGCATCATGATTAACCTTGCAGTTTTCCTGACTTATCCGCTTTCCGGCTACGTGGTCATCGACATCATAATGAACCACTACTGGAACAAGAGTGGCGAACTAAACGGTGCCAAGCTCAAGGAGTTCATTGTCCGCATAGTGTTTGTCCTTTTGACCACATTGAACGCTTTGCTGCCCTTCAACTTATTTCCGCTGATTTCGCTGGTTGGGGCCTTCTCCATCTCCTTGCTGAACCTCATCTTCCCGGCCCTTATGGAAATCTGTCTGTATTATCCCCCGGAGTACAGGAAAGACAGGCCAAAGTGGAAGCTGTGGAAGAACATTTTTCTCATCAGCCTTGGCACCGTCATATTCATACTCGGCACCTACATTGCCATTAAGGAAATTATGGAGACTTGGGGCAAGAGCAATGCCGGTACCTATGATCAGTAACAACGGGGATCCTTGAAAATCTAAACTCCTCATTGATGAAAGAGAAATTTTGGTACAGATTTTTCACATTAAAATAATGCTGATTTTTGACATTTGAAAGCTTAGTGTAGAAAATGATATTTGATATAGTTTTTACTGGCAAACAACTACTAACTAAATTTGGAAAAAAATTAAAGGAGTATAAAAATTATTATTCTGTATAGTTTCCTAAAAATAATGGATTGTCGGTTTGTCTGATTGGTATATATATCGTTCGAGATTAATAATATACTTTTGATTCAGGCTAAGTTGTGTGGAGAATATTGAGTGGCAGCTTTTATTCAATGTTTTTTATGTCAAGTTAATACATTCAGTCGATTCCTAAGCAAAATTTAAAATAAATACAAAACAAATTAAAGAACTTTTTAAATTTTAAATGGCCGACAAAGGGTAAGAGTTCGCAATGATCTGAATCTTATAGAAAGCTTATTGTCCACAGAGATTATAATCCGTACGAAAATCGAAATGTTGAATCTCCGCTATCGTAAGTCTCAAGAGATTTTTGCTTGATTCTGTAACTCTTCTTGCTAAATTTTTTAGGAATTGGGGGGCCTTTGTGTCGCTATTAAAGTGTATAGTTGGAACGGGAGTCCTGGCTCTACCCTTGGCATTTCACTACGCTGGCATCGTCATGGCTATTTTCCTGCTCCTGCTGTGCACCTTCCTGCTTATCCATGGCATGCAGTTGCTGGTAAAATCATATTAGAGCACCCAACCCTGTTCAAGGCTAATTCTTGAGCGATCTTCGCAGATATATAGCATGGTGGAGTGCTCGCGGCGATTGCAAATAGGCTATTCCACCTTCCCGGAGGCAATGATCTACTCCTTCGCGCAGGGCCCCGGATGCTTTAGGTATTGCGCCAAGGCCGGAGGCTACCTCGTGGACGGGGTGCTGGCCTTCTCCCACTACGGCGTCTGTGTGGTCTACATAGTCTTTGTAGCCTCTAGTTTCAAGCAGATCTGCGACTTCTATTGGGTGGTATGGGATGTTCGCATTTTCATTGCGGTCGTGGGCCTCCTCCTCATCCCCATTTTCCTGATTCGGTCGCTCAAGTGGCTCGTGCCCTTCAACCTGGCTGCCATGGTGTTCATCTACTCCGGCTTCCTCGTTATGTTCTACTACCTGTTTTCAGGACTGCCTTCGCTATCCGAGCGCGACATTGTATTTGGCAAAGTGGAGAATATAGGCCTCTTCTTTGGCATCGCCCTGTTCGCCGTGAGCTCAGTGGGAGTGGTAAGTCCGCCGGATGAATTTTTTAAATCAGTATTAACTCCTCATTCACAGATGATAGCTATCGAGGCGAAAATGGCCAAACCCGAGACCTATCTCGGCTGGTTCGGAGTCCTCGACCTGGCCATCATTGTGGTGCTTATCTCGTACACATTGTTCGGATTCTTTGGATACTGGCGTTATGGGGACAAATTGCAGGGCAGTATATCCCTCAACCTGCCAACTGATGAAATGTAAGTTTACTACAATGTATACCAGATAAATCTACAATCTCAAACACTAAATACCTTTTCGTTTCAGTGCTTCGCAAGTCTCCAAGTTACTTATTGCCGTGGCCATTTTCCTGACGTACCCGTTGTCCGGATATGTGGTCATCGACATCATAATGACCCACTACTGGAACAAGAACGACGAACTGAAGCATGCAAAGCTCAAGGAGACCGCCATCCGCATATCGTTTGTCATCTTGAGCACGTTAAACGCGGTGGTGGCCCCCAATCTGGGTCCACTGCTCTCGCTAGTTGGGGCCTTCACCATCTCCTTGCTGAACCTCATCTTCCCGGCCCTTATTGAAATCTGCCTGTACTATCCGCCGGAGTTCAACTACGGCAGGTGGAAGTGGAAGCTGTGGAAGGATATTATTCTCATCATTGTTGGCACTGTCATACTGATCGAGGGCACCTATTTTGCCATTGTGGCCATGGTCAAGGAATATGGGCGTAGCGAAGACAGCGGAGACAAGTAGACCTTTTTACCAAAATTATTGCTTGTTGGAATACAGAATATTTCTTCTTTTAATGTTTACATTTTCAAAATGTCCGCTTTGAAGCGATCTAAATTTAAGTCGTGTAAAAAATAAAAAGTAAAACTATCCCGTTAAGACTTCAATGAGCTCCTCATTAATTAGTGAAAGAGAAATTTATGTGGGTAGTGACAATTTTGGTATGGATTTAAAACCTTGAAATAATGTCGGTAGTTGACATTTAGTTGAGTATAAAAATGAATATTTTATAGTTTTTACTGGCAAACAACTACTACTACTAACTAAATTTGGAAACATTTAAAGGAGTAAAGAAATTAATGAATGTCTAGAGTTTCCTTAAAAGGATCGATTTCCGGGGATTACTAATCGGAAATGTAGAGAGTCTTTTATACTTTATATTTTTCTTGATTATACTTACCCTACAAATACAAGGGCATATCCGGTCATACTTTTGATCAGAGTAGTCAGGCGAAACTGAGTCTTGGCTTAAAGTTCTTTTAAGTTACACATTATTGTTCAGATTATTTGGCGTTAGCATTTATTTTTTTTAGTTTTTTGATTTTTATGTTATGTCTATATATACAATCCATTCTAAATTTACAACATTGGACAATAAAGAAAACTTGTTAAGTTTTAATGGCCGATACGGGGTAAGAATTCACGATGGTCTGAATCTTAAAGTAAGCTTGTCCTCCACAGAAGGTTTAATCCGTACGAACATCGAGAAGTTGACTTCCCTATAACGTAAGTCCTTACAGTTTTTACTAAACTCTGTAATAATTCATATTTTTTAAGAAAATTTGGTGCCTTTGTGACGACATTTAATTCCGTGGTTGGAACAGGAATCCTGGCCCTGCCCTTGGCATTTCACTACGCTGGCATCGTCACGGCTACTCTTTTGCTCCTGCTCATCACCTTCCTGCTCATTCATGGCCTGCAGTTGCTGGTAAAATTATAACTGAGTTCCTGGCAGCAATCAGATGCTATTTCTTCGCAGATATACAGCATGGTGGAGTGCTCGCGCCGATTGGAAATCGGCTATGCCACCTTCCCGGAGGCCATGATCTACTCCTTCGCGCAGGGCCCCAGGTGCTTCAGGTACTGTGCCAAGGCCGGAGGTTACTTCGTGGACGGGGTGCTGGGCCTCTCCCACTACGGAATGTGTGCGGTCTACGGGGTTTTTGTGGCCTCCAATTTCAAGCAGATTATAGACTTCTACTGGAAAGTATGGGATGTTCGCATCTACGTTGCAGTTGTTGGACTCTTCCTCATCCCTGTCTTCATGGTTCGGTCGCTCAAGTGGCTCGTGCCCCTCAACCTAACAGCCATGGTGTTCACCTACTCCGGCTTCTTCTTTATGTTCTACTACCTGTTTACAGGACTACCTTCGCTGTCCGAACGCGACATCATATTTGGCAATGTGGAGAATATAGGCCTTTTCTTTGGCATCGCCCTGTTCTCCGTGAGCTCAGTGGGAGTGGTAAGTCCGCCGGATAAAATTTTTAAATCAGTATTAACTTTTCATTCACAGATGGTAGCCACCGAGGCAAAAATGTCCAAACCCGAGACCTATCTCGGCTGGTTTGGTGTCCTCAGCATTTCCTCCTTTGTGGTGATGGTCTCGTACATATCCTTTGGTTTCTTTGGCTACTGGCGTTATGGGGAGGATTTGCTCGCCAGTATATCCCTCAACCTGCCCACCAATGAAATGTGCGTTTGCTAAAATGTTTACAAGATAAGTCTAAAATCTCTCGTTTCAGTGCTGCGCAGCTGTCCAAGATCCTTCTGGCCCTGGACATCTACCTGACGTACCCGTTGTCCGGTTACGTGGTAATCAACATCATAATGACCCACTACTGGAACAAGCACGGAAAACTAAAGCATGCCAAAGTCAAGGAGACCCTCCTCCGCATATTGTTTGTCGTCGTGTCCACTTTGAATGGGGTGCTGGCCCCCCACCTGGGTCCACTGCTCTCGCTGGTTGGGGCCTTCACCATCTCCTTGCTGAACCTCATCATCCCGGCACTTATGGAAATTTGTCTGTACTATCCGCCGGAGTTCAGCTACGGCAGGTTGAAGTGGAAGCTGTGGAAGGACATTATTATCATTATTATTGGCACTATCATTCTGGTCGAGGGCACGTATTTTGCCATTGTGGCCATGGTCAAGGAATATGGGCGTAGCTAAGACAACGGAGACAAGTAGAGCGTTGTATCAAAATTATTGCTTAGTGCCTTTATTTTATATTCTTTAAAGCTTAAATATCATGCTCTTTGTTACAAATTTATATTACATTATTATTTGTAAGTACTTGAATTCATTGAGGTCCTTAATTTGAACATTTCATCTAGAGCCCTGCGGGGTTCTCTCTCATTTTGAATGCCATAATCATCCTTTAGTTGCTCTTAATTAAGACAGAACAATTTACCGAATGTACATTTTAACAGCATCATTAAAGACCCAGTCCAGTTGGAGTTGGAGCTTCCTTCAAGCTGTCCATCTCCAACCGGCGCCTTTCCCAGAGGTCAGCCCCTTGCCGCCCACTGATTTAACCTGCTGACTTGACCCCAACCCAGGAGGAATCGTCGAAGGCCATTATCAATGGCGTTGGCATTGGCATGGCGGGGTAATTCCCTCATTAGCCGTCAGGCAGTGAGAGTGGCGAATGGACAAGCGGCATGCGGCATTCGGCATGTGGCATGTGGCATGCGGCATGTGCAGCCTGCAACCTGCAGCAGCAACCTGCAGCAGCAACCTGCAACCTGTAAGCCTGTTTCAGCACACGTCTCTGCTCCGTCAGCCCCACTTAACGATGTGCTCCGGAATTTATGCCGATATGGTAATGCATCTACGCTGCGACTCCGACTCCGTCTCCGTCTCCATCTCCAACTCCATCTCCGCCTCGAACTGGGACTGGGAGTTGGAGTCTGGATCTCGGATCGGCGGGACTGCCTCATTATGCCATTGATGGACTGCAGTTGAGCATTTGGATTGCGTAATTTATTGTTTTGGGTCTTTCGGCCCCGATAAACTGGTGTTGGCCACTCGATTCCCGGCTTGGCCAAAAACGGGCAATGGGTCCAGGTCCGTCGCCCGACATACATCTGTTTGCCGTCCGGCTGTCCAGTTGTCCGCCTGTCATTTGTGTGGCATTTTTTGCCAACGCCTGCCGCCGGCGGCAATCTCACTTTCCGCCGGGGGATTTCCATGGGAGACCATTTAAGGCTCTAATTAGCTACGCAGTCAGCATGCAAAGCGATGCCCATCTAATGGTTTCCAGCGAAACGCGAGCCACACGTGCACAGAGCCCATCTACGACTCCTTCTCCATTTCCCTAGTGCTGCTTCCTCAAGTCCATTCCATTATTCTAGACTCCGGAATAGCCCATCCAATCCCTCCCAGTGCGGGAGGTCAGCAGGTTAAGCAGCGGCTGGAATAGAAACTGAAGAGTTCTGCGTAGACTGTGATTGCAGCCAGAGTGCAACAAATCATTTCCCATAGCCAGTGAAGACACTTGAAGAAATAGATTAGTTCAGCATTAATAAATCATATTTTAAATAGTTTAAATATATATTTTTAAGATTTTAATATTATCTCTAGTTCGAAGAATACCAATGAGAAACTTACAGATACTTCTTGTCTAAAATGTTTTGATTTTCAATCTATTATATTTTCTTGTTTGATATTTGAATATGAATATTCTTTTTTTCTCAAGAAAGTAATACATTTTTCTTACCGTGCAAATAAGAGAGATCTGCGAGGCAGCCAATTTGTGTTCCGTTGCTTTGCCGTTTGTATAAATCAATTGGCAATGAGGCAAGTACGGTTGGGGTATGGGTTATGGGGTATGGGGTTTGGGGGATTGGGGACTGGAACCGAGATTCTCCTCGGGACGCGACATCACGCTGTGCGGTGTCTATCCTATAAATTGCGCAAAATCCCCCACCAAAGTCCTCGCCAAGATCTCGCCTCTAATGCGTTATGTGCCATGTGTTTGGACTAGGATCTTTTCACTTGCTCGCGGTGCGTGCACTGGGCCTGTGATTGGTCTATAAATTATTGGGTTTATTGCGCCGCAAGGTCCACGCCCCCACCTCCCATGACACTGATGGATTACCAAAAATAATATATATATGTATATAAGTATAGCCTTATCGCCGCTGGCCAAATATTTGCCCATCGAAATACCCGCTTCCTTTCGGCGGCTATCTCCTGAGGGTCGTACAAGTAACACACATATTTGCCTGACGACTTTACTTTCGATTTCAATTTCATTTTCGAATTCCAGATCAACGGCCACTTGAAGAGTGTTCGATGAGCGTTCGATTCGATTTGAGATAAAATATTTGCACAACTCGAGGGTCAGCGATGAAAAGGTGCTGGTGGCCAAGGGTGATGAATACGGAGATCTCTCTATTAGCTTAAGGAAAAACTTTTTTATTTTATGAAATTAATATTTGTAAAGATTATTATTTATTTATTTAATCAATTATATATTTTCCTTACTAACATAGTCCTGCCAGAACTATAGGACTCTTGGCGGAACTTCTACCGAAAAAAAAACTATGTCAAATTGCAACAGAATTTTGACTTATACTGGATGTTACTGCAGCAACAACCGCAAGAGCAGCGGTCCCATTAATATTAATTAAATAAACGTTAATTCAACGCATTAATGCGTAATAAATAATGCTCTTTTGAGCAGAAATTAATGCATAAAACGCTACTTATCGCCGCCGCCACGCACTTATCTGTGTCAACACAGAACGGCAGCGGCAAGATGGCAATGGGGGTGGAGGGGTAGCAGAGGGGGACAGAGGGTGGAGCGGGGGAGTGGGGTGAGGGTAAGGGTAGGGGCAACAACAGCGGCCATTGCTACTGACAAACGCATTGTCAATAGTCTATAGATCCGTCTGCACTTGAACAAATAATATAGAATATAAGGATTATTGTTTGTATTTTATATGATTTACTAAATAAATTTATATTAATGTATAACTATTTTTATACATGTTCTTGTTTTATTCCTATTTATTTTAATATATTTTTTAAATCAATTTAAAACTCTTTTCTCTTGCATTAATTTCAATATAAAAATTGCAATTTAATATGAATTTCTGCCAGTGCTCCTGGGGCTGCCCACAGAGATGGAGTCGGATCGAAGTCGGAGTCGGAATCGACGTCGTCGGTTGGCGCGTTGCAATTACATGTCTGTGACAAGAATTTTAAATGAAAATCGCTGCGTAGTGCCTTGGACAAATGATTCAAACTTTCGCGTTACGTGTGGAAAATGTTTAAAACTGAGTCGGGGCCATGGACTTACCTAGTGCCGAGTGTGCCTGGTGCCTGGTGCCTTATGCCGATCTCAATGGAGGCGCCATGCCAGGATTGGAGATTTGCTCTTTTTGTGCGCTTTGCATGCCCAATGGCCAGGAGTCGCGTTGTCGATGGCGACGCATGAAATTAGAAAGGCATTATTGCAAATCTCTCGCTTTATTTATCAGCAATTTGTCAGCAAGTGTGCCGCGGTTCAGATTAAAGTGCCAGCCGCCGTTGGATCTGTCCCCGGATCCGTCCAATCCGTTCGATCCCGTCCAGACTTTCTAATGCCAAGCGGCTGCTGCTGCACCTGACACACGCACAAATCGCCGCAGGAATTAGGCAGGTGGAGAAGGTCCACTACGAACCCAATGGGGTCAAGTGCATCCGCAAATGAATTAAGCATTTTATGGTCGGTTGAAATTTGGTCAAGAGAGGCTTTAAGGATGTAAATATTTTATATTTTTTAAGCGAATATAAAATGTTTATTTTTTTTAGTTCTAATTAAGATTTCTTTAACCAGAAAGTGTTTTAAAATGCAATATATATAAAGTTTTTAATAGATCGCTTTGTCCTCATAAAAATAAAAATAAATATAAAAGCTAATCTTCAAAAAATAGTTGCCTAAAAAATGTTTATACAATATTTACCAATAATTATTTAAGAAATTTAATCATAACGTGGTTCTGCCTTTTGAAAACCCCCTTTATTTTTTTCTGGGTGCACTTGCATTAGATAAAGTCTCCTGGCCCAGGGGCACATAACTCAGACCGCGAAGCGCCCTTCGCGCAGTTAACAAATAACATCAACTTATTAAATAAAGTTTCAATTCGGTTTCGGCGAGAGGAGCAGCAGCTACCGTGCTGGGATCTGAACGGAGCCAGAGCAGGGACTCTGGACTTGGGAGAGGGGAGACGGGACTCAGGGAGCTGCAGGCGCAGCCGCAATAAATCATCACATCGGAGGGGGGCAACGGTGTGGAGCTGGGGCACTAGCCACGGGTAACAGACGGTAACTGCGGCCAAGTTATGTGGCTTCATTGTGGACAGAATGAACGCTTTTAAGCAGACAATTGCAGCCCGGGGCGCAGGCACAACAGGTAGGAGAACCTGCGGAGTGGGATGATGCTGAGGGAACAGGAACTGGAGCGGGAACGGGAACGGGAGCGGGTGAAGGACCAAGAGCTGGGGGAAAACACTCTCGCTTGGTGTAGAGAGCACCTCCCACTACCCCTTGCTATTGTTGCCACAGCCGTACTCCGCCTTGGAGCCTACAGACTCTCGTAGGCCGCACTGCGGGCATAAATCATTCGGGCCTCGAGAGCAGCTCCTGTTCCTTTACACTGGGAGATAATGTAGAGACTGAAACTGTAATAATTTATATGCAAATTAGGGAATTTATCACTGAATAAAGGTAAGGCTATTTAAGAAATTAAAAAGGGAGAGTTGAACTTGCTGACTCTTCTCTCTACTTCTTGTACATAAACAAAAATTTAAGTTTCTGGTAATATTCAAATATCTATAAATATTTAATATATTTAAGGATCATAACTTCTTGCCTAATTTTATACCTTTTATTAACTCTCAAAGTGTAAATCCCTCCTTTCCCCTCTTCTCTTCTAAATCCCCCGAAAAACCCAGCAACTTGCAACTGCAATATGAGTTAATTTTTGCAGCCCCAGACTCTGTAAGGAGTTTTGCGTATTTGTCAACTGCAAATTACAGCATTTTTATGCCCATTTCCCACACAAAAAGGCTCCTTGGCAACTCCAACTCCAACTCCGACTGGTTACTAGTTACTGGCTACATGTGGGCTACTCCATGTGGGTGGATATGTGTATATGGCCATGTGGCAAATTTATGGCAAGCCTGGCATTATAAATTTTCTATTAACCTGCCCCCACCGAGAGATAGCGATTCGTGATCACAGATTTGCATTGAATACTGGCTGGTTGGACGCATTCGGAAAGTGCGTTGATGATGGGGCATTATATCTGTTTAAGGCTTTAATTTTATTTCTTTTGCCAAAAATGTACGCAAAATAAGTGCGCAAAACAGCAGCGCCTTCTATGGGGGTTACGGGTGCGGGTCCGATCCCACTGCCTTGGGCTGGCTCACTTTGCATCCAATTGACTTGAAAGGCACGGTGTGGCAGGGGCTGCATCTCATTGAACCCCGACAAATTGGTCATAATTTCAGGCAACTAATCCCAATAAACATGGCCCAAACATTGTGCCACTGACATTAAGCTGCCAGTTGGCCATTCCCGACTTATATTGCGACTTACGGTCGGTGTAAGCCGGGTAAGTAGCCAACTAATAAAATGCCATTTATCTGGCCATCGATCGATGGCAGCCAGGCAGGTGGAGCTAAGAGAAAAGCTAGGAGAACTTGGAAGAAGAGGAGCAGTAGCCAGGTAACTTGTCCAGCGAAATGCAAGTGCGGCGAATCGATTTGGCCAGCGGCCGGGCATAAATTGCAAATTAACAGAAGTTCAAATCGAAAAACGGGCCGGCGATTTATACGCGACGAGTAAATGACGAGACAAAAGGTTAATCAGATGCTCATCAAGTGGCCACCACTTACTCGCCTGTCAGGATCGGGGTGATGTACACTAAAGGTTAAGGAAAAAGTACTGATCTCTAGGGGAATTATTAAATATATTACAATTTTTAAAGAGAAAAGAGGGTCTCTAAAACCCTTAAAAGTAGCTCTAAAAGTAAAGCAATAAATATCAAATTAAGCTTAATTTATTTTCAATAATATTTCAACAATATTTCCCTTTGTAAGTATTTAAATTAAATAGCTTCTTAGAGCTAGTGACTTGACCATAAGTGTAGAAGGCACTTGCTGGCCTGGCTTGCTCCTGATTTGCATAGTGGGAAAGTGAGTGGGAAAACCCAGAGCTGAGAGCCCAAAGAACACACGGCACAACACACTCAACACACTCGACGGGTCAGGCTAGGCTCAATCAACGGGTTTCTGATTGGTTTCACACGCTGCCCCTTATCGAGAATCGAGTGTCCGTATCCGCCAGATACGATATTAACACACGAACTTTAAACTCTCGCTGGGCAAACAGTAATTTTTCAATTGTGCACACACACACACACAAACACCACACCGGCTGTTTCCTTTTTTTACCTTCACATAAGATTACGTCACAATGCAAATCGCTTATCGCTGCAGTAAAGTAGGAGTATAAGTACGAGTTCAAGAGTATCTTGTGGATATGCCATATTTGTTATCTGTGGGTGTAATTTTCTCACGGTTCAGTTTCTGTTTCAGTTGCTCGGACCTCGGATTGGGATTGGGATTGAATTGCGTTTGCACATTCGCCGCCCTTTTTTTTCTGGTTTTCTTTTTTTTCGCCAACACTTTTTGTGGGTGATTACGATTCCCATTCCGATTCCGATTCCGAGAGCAGCCACAGCCAGCACCTGGATAAATATCTTATCTGCCCTGAGTTGAGTTTCCTTCGCCTCGTTTCTGCTTTCAGCGCATATCACATATTAATTTGATTTCTCAGCTCTCGCCTCAAGTAGCGTGGGAAAGTGTGTGGCCTGGGCCCTTTAAATGCGAATCGCTGTTTGGTTCTGCACGGTTCTGTTCTGTTCCGATCGCCAAAACAAGGTTTAATTGTACAACAAAATAAGGTAAAACATCGCTATCAAGTGCTGAATGCAAACAGGCAGCCAGCAAATCCACCACCGCAATCCTCTAGGCGTTGGGAAATGTCAACAAGGCTCAAGGTTGCCTCGAGTAGGAGTCGCCAATTAGTTCCCACGCGAAAGGTTAGAAAACTGTTATCAGTTTAAAGGTTTAAAGAAATTTAAAGACACTTAGTTTTCTATTTTGTAGTATGTAGCGGATTGCAGAAATATATGTATATTATTAAAAAAATAATAAATAATTAAAAAATAATAAATAAATAATTAAAACCAAAAAATCACAAGCTTGTAACAATAATCCCCAACTTGTTTTAGCATCCTCTGAGTGTTAGCCCAGCTGAATGTTGAGGTCGAGTGGTAAAGGTGTTTGTGTGGTAATGTTTTATGGTTCCTCTTTTCTAAAAGAGGTGCTACTTGTTGTTGTTGTGTTACAGTGTATCCTATCTATGTATCTTTTGTAGCTTAGTGCTACATGTTTATTTGAAAAATAAAGGAGATCAAGAATCAATCAGAGGAAAGAACTAGAGATTTGTGAGTATACAAAATATATATTTCTTAGCTTAAAGATTTTGTAAATCTTAGCATTAAACAATGTTTGAATTAGAAACATTTATTGGGTATCAAAAAACACAAATTTAAGCATTGTTAAATAATAAAACTTAAGACAAGGCGATCTGTTTCAAGTAAAGAACATAGAACATAGAAAATAGAAGTTATTGTGCCTTTATTAGATACTACCCGTTTGGTTTTTAAGCTTTTACGTTCTGTAAAATTGTTACATGAGAGCTAAGGCAATCTGCCCCAAAGTATGCTGTATCTTACAACAAACTATAGCTGCAGCGAGTGAACAACTTGAGGTTTTTTATTTCATTTCTTCAAAAACGTATCCAACAGATACTACCTACAACCCTTTAAAAATTCATCATCATATGCAGATTATTCAAACCCAATTTATTTGTTTCAATAGTTTTTATTTATTTTTTTTTTTTGTAATGCGATTTTTTTTTTGGCTGCCCCTGCGCAGGGGGCAGCGGGTCTTTGTGTATTGGTAATATATATATATGTCATGATTATTGAAATAGGGCGTCAATAATGTACAGAGTAAATCAATGATAAAACAAAAAATATAATTGAAGACGAAAACAAAAACAAACTTCGGCTGCGTCCGTCTGTCTTGGCTTAGTTCGAGTAGGAACTAATTACGACTAAGTTGTTGTCAAAATCACTACGATACAAAATCGCTTCTACAAGAATTCTCTAAGTAACCTTAATGCCACGCCCCCCAGGAGGGCGTTGGCACCGACTAAATCGAAATACTTTTGTTGTTTGGTTGCTATGTTTTTTGTGTGTTTGGGTGTCGGATTGGGGTTTGGATAAGGTGGGAAAAGGTATAACCACAGTGGCGGAGGCAGAGGCTGGCGGGAGTTTTTTTTTTGGAGTCCTAGAAAACTTTGGTTAGCCCTAAAATTAGTTAAAAACTTAGCTTAGACATCCCTGTGCTTAGAAGAGTTTCATTTAAGACTAATTTAAATTAAAAATTAGCATTAGCAGCTAGGCCAGCGGCTGTCTCAGTGGCCGCCGCTGAACTCGGCGTGGAATTCGATGATGCTGACGTATGTACCGGCCACGAAGCCCACCACGCCGAACAGTATCAGGCCGGAGTTCTTCCACAGCCTCCACTTGAAGCGCCCAAAACCGGGATCCTCATGGTACACTGCCAGCTCGATCACCGCCGGCACAATCATGCCCAGCGTGCTCAGACACACGGCGCCGATCAGGGAGATGAAGGGCCCCAGGTTGGGCAAGGCCACGGCGATGCCACCGCACAGCAGCTAAGGAATGGAAGGATTTTTGATTAGATCGAAAGGAAAAGTTAAAAAGAAAACCAACTTACCACCAGTCCCACTCGCATGGCGTACTCGCTGATGTTCTGCCTCTCTGGCCGGATCTTGTGCTCCAACCCCTTCCAGAGGATCGAGACGGGCACATAGAACTGCAGCGTAAAGGTAAAGAAGATGGCAATGGCAATCATCAGCTTTACAGATTGAGCCAGTCTAAAAATTATATTTAAAAGAATTTAAAACGTGAACTTAATCAAGAAAATTAAATAGAACTCACTTATCCTCCAATGGCAGATTCAGCGTGATGCTGGCCTGCGTCTCCGGACCGTACTTCAGGAAGCCAAAGAATCCAACCAGAGTGTACAGAGCGATGACCAGTCCCATGCCCAAGTTCAAGACCGAAGGGCAGCCAATGAAATGGGTGGGGTTCTTCATGTCATTCTCCAGGGACATGACTACACCGATGCCCTCCAGAGCAAAGATCACAGTGCCGAAGAAGAGCGGCCACTCGGTCACCGACACAATGCCAGGACGCTCAGCGGGAGCAGGCAGATCCGAGAACATGTAGATAAAGGTGATCACAATGCCCACAAACATCAGAATATTGGCAATCATCGAGAAGGGCGTGAGGAACTTGAGGTTCCTTACTAAACACATAAAGATCAGCGGCGCCGTCACGATCATTATCCACACCCTGATGCTGAGTTCCGTCTCCATGTAGACCCGCACCACCTGCTCCACATTGGTGGCCACAAACACCAGATAGATGCAGCAGCAGCCCAACAGATCGATCACCAGAAATGTGTTAACCATGAACCGGATGAAGCGTGACCAGCGATTCAGCGATGGTGGACCGTCGAGGAAGGCCTGCTCTGCCACATCGGCAAAGCCCATCATGGGGATCTTGCGTCGCCGGCAAAGGATGTGGGCGCACTTGACCAGAATGTGGACACAGTAGGTGCACAGAGTGCCCACCAAAAAGGTGGCTACTAAACCAAACCATAAACCGGCATGGGAGAAGGCCATGGGCATGGCCAAAATGCCAGAGCCCAGGGAACCCTTTAGCAGGTGAACAAAGGTCTCGAGGTCCCTGGGGAAGGTAAGATAAAGGTAATTTAATAAAATTGTTTTAATAAAGTTTAGAGGATCATAATATTATAAATTTCTATAATAATTAAAATATATTTACAGAGCTTTTCTATTTTCCTCTAAACATTCTTTTGGATATATGACAGGTTATTTTAAAACCGACATCTGCACTTTTGGCTAAATAAAATATCTGCATTGAAATAGCTATTGTTGTCTAATCGCTACTGTATAATATATATTCGGCAGATAAATAAATAAAGATCAGTTGGGAGATGCCAAAAGGAAAACACCAGAGTAAAATGCTGTAATGCCTTGCCTCTTACTTATATTCTACACATTTTCCTCTTGCTAATAATTTCACTGGAAATGAGGGCTTTTCCCGCTTCTCCAACAGCTGACGTAGTGCACTCAAAATCAATAAATATTTTGGCCAAGTACATGAAATATATATGAGCTGGCACAATATTTAATTTGATGAGCTGGCAAAATATCGAAATTTTCGTCATTTTTCGTATTTTCCTCACTTTTCTCTCACGCAATTGCAATCTTAGTGCAAGGCCTGGCGGATGCGTTTTTCTCTCACTCAAGAAATTGGGAGAATTCCTCATTCCACATGCTAAACGAGTCGAGCAAAACATTTGTCGGCGCTTTTCATTTTATTAGCTCGTTCGTCCGAGATTTTCCTTTGCGCGATTACTTATTTTTAGTTTGGAAAAAAAGTAGTTTGCCAAAAAGTCCAAGGCCAATGTCAATACAATTGCATTTCCGTTCGTTCTTTTCCTTTTTTTGATTTAAGTATGTGCAAAAGTCAAAGTCTTGGTGGCTGGTTAAAGGTCAATGACGCTAGTGGGGGTGTATTTTTAAGGGGGATTAGTCATTGAAAGTTAAATGAATCGCATCAGCTGTTTATCCGGGTTGTCAGCAAAAGCTATAGAGGCTGTAGAAGTCTAAAAAGCTAATGAATTTGATTGGATTTTACCAAAATATTATATTCTATAGAAGAAAAAGTGTGGAGAATAACGTGGCTACTGAATAATTTATACTTTTGACTCAATTTAAAAATTATATTCATACTAACTACTTCCTTTATATTTAATATATTATTTGTATTTGTTTAAAACCACATATATAATATTCTAAAATACATATAGAAACAAAAAATAGTATATGGTATATCGACTTTTGTTGTAGGCTAAAGCTTAAACAGTTGCTCATAAAAATGTAATAAAAAAACTGCAACTGCTGCTAACATAAATTAAATATTTTATGTAACAGCTTATTGCCAACTACGTTTTAAATATTCACAAAATATTTAGAAACCCCTTAAACAAGTAAATAAATCCACTTTATAAAGAGACATCTGTAAAATATATTTTAAAATATTTCTGTTGTACTTACGATGTGGGATGCTCCACCTTGCGGTGCTCAAACGGATTATAGTTGCCATCCTCGGAGTCGTCGCCGCCTTTCTTCCGGGTTATGACCAGGGGCAGCGTGGAGCCAGCCGCCTGCTGCACTGGCACATCGGCCATGTCCGAGCGAATGAACCTGTCCGAGGAGGAGTACATTTCAAACATGGTCGTGGAGGACTCGTTGTTGTCGATGTTCTTGTACATCGCAAACGGATTTCAATGGCCGGAGCCGTAACGGAAACGGAATTGGAAACGGAATCGAGTAATACAGCCGTTGCCTGAGGCATCGACCAGACGAATGATACGATTTCGATTCAGATTCCGATTCCCAATCCGATCTACGATCTCTTTAATGGGATATGGACGTGGTCGGGATGGACTCTCGGGAATACTCACTTGGGTTGGCCGCCTTTACCGCCTTTGCCGGGCTTCTCGTTCTCACCGTAGCCCGCAGCGACCGTCGGTATTTTCTGTAATGAGAGGAAAAGCGGCCCGAGGAAAAGCCAAGTGAGTACGTTTCGGGAAAATGAGCAAAAGCCGAAGAGGCGCTGATTATGTAAAGCTCTTCGCAGATGCAGCTGCAGCCAAAAAAATATAGAAGGAGGAAAGGAAGAACTAAAAGATGCAACCGATAAATTGTGGCCAGAAAGCAGAGAAAAATACGCAAAACAAGATCAATGAACAAGTTCAATGCAGTTTTATGACACAAACTATTTGCTTCGATTTTGGCATAGGTAAAAATGTCTAATTAAGTGATATCTATCAGGTCCCACGCGGCGTATGCGCAATATTCATTTCTTCGAGCCCCTGGAGCGCTGCACCTGCTGATGCTGATCCAGGTTGGTGGTCATCACGCCCGTTCCACTGCTGGCAACCGGTGGCGGTCCTCCCCTCTTGAGGGACATCTTCAGCTTGTGCCGGGCCAGGGCGGCGCCGGAGAGACGCGGCTTCCGGCCGGAACCGGAAATGGAGCCCGTTGAGCCACCAAAGCTGCTCAGGCCCAAACTCTGGCCCCCCTCCGACGGCTGCGGCTCGCGGCGCGGCGGCACCGGCGGCTTTCCGGTGGGGGCGTTCAGCTTGAGGTCTTCCAAGGTCACCGTGTTGGAGGAGGAGGAGGAGCAGGTGGAGGACGAGGCGTCGGTGGTGGCCAGGAGGTGTCCAGCCAGAGAGAGTTATAGAGAGAGAAACAGATGACGACGAGAGCGACGAGGGACAAATCTCGGCGCGTGACTCTTGCAAGCGGCGACAAGCAACTGAATCAAGGCGGCCAGCCACACGGCCAAACAAAATACCGCCCCATCGCCACCCCCAGAGATCACAGATTTCTATTAAATCCCAACCACCAACACCCACCAGATGCTTCTCTCCCAAAAGCAGCGATGCTCTTGAGTGGGATAATGCACGTCGAGAAAATTGTGATAGAAAGCTTGAATTGGTGACATATTGAAGGTTGAAAGACTAGCAAAAAAAAAATATTTAGGAATTTTTATATATATTTTAAATAAAGGAATAAGTAATTTCTAGTTAGATAAAAATACTTCTAAAAATTTAAATATTAATATTTAATATTCCCTTTTCATTTCTCATTGTGTAGATGTTCACAATTTGAATTTTTATTGTGGGTGCAGCAGCAGCCATGACGTCACGAATACAAAACCCCCGCCCCCTTTGCGATCCACACGTGATCTTTGTAAGCAATAGTCACAAAGGCGGGGAGGAAAAGCGTGGGGGCTAAAGGGGTCCAAACGGGGCTCGGAAGGGGGTGTGGTGCGATTTTTATATAAATTGTTTTTGAGAAATTTCGTTCACCGTTCAGCGCGTCTGAAATAAAACGCTGCCGTCTAATGAGGAAACTGCGAATTTGTGCAACAAATACGTGCGAAAAAGCGGCAAAATGCGCAAAAAACAACTGCTCTGTAAATTGTCCGTAAAACAGAACCTCAACTTGATTGGTCATTGTTTATGCTGTAGCGACTGGCTGCTGTTATAAGTCAGAGGGGCGCACGCGTCTTGTCCCGGCTGGGGCTCGTCGGCTAATGGGTGGTAGTTCTGCACCCTCTGAACTTTGAATTGATCCCTAAAGTTAGATTTAAAACTGCGTGCTACGACGAAAAATATGAAAATCCAAACACCAACATCTACACTGGAAAAAAAAACTGGAACGAACATGAGTCCATTGCCCGCCCGCTAGAGGTCGCTTGCCTGCCCGCCAATCCACTCAGTGGCGCCCTCCAGCTGAAGTTGTCATAAGCTGACTGTGTGTTAGCTAACAGCGAAAACTTAACAGAGGCCGCTAACGGTTAACAGTCGCCAGGTGTCGCTTGTAAAATGTTAAAAAATATTAAGTTATTAGTTGTATGCCCTAAATTAAAGTAATAAGCTCTTAAAAAATCCTTATAAATAAAAATAATAAATAAAAAAAATCCCTGCAAAGTTTTATATTAAATTTGCAAATTGTATAATGTATTTATGCAATTTATTGAACAAATAACTAGAGCTAATTATTGATAAAACATTTCTGAAAAACAGTAAAAACCAAATAACCCAATGAAATCACAAAAAAGGGAAAAAGCTAAACCACAAATATGTAAAACGTTTAATAATAAACTGAGCTAGTGTTCACGCCTCATTCCCCACGAGACTGAAATTCACTCAAAAGTCAGCCAAGTACTTATTCCGATTTGCACATTCTCAAAATTCTGAACATTCAGCCTCTTTCCGCTTCAGATAACATCTAGCCATAAATGGTGATTATATGTAATATTTAAGCAGAAGGGAGGCTTCCGAGTACGCAAATTCAAAGGCAAATAAAAACAAAAAGGTAGCTAACTTCTCTATACCCTTCATGCTTCTAATTGGATTAAAAAAATCCGTCGTAACTAAGTCAAAAAAGCATCAAATTCGATTTGGAAATCTTTTCTATGTTCATAGTTTTTATTTGGATAATTTATTACATTTTTCAAAATTAACGAAAATGTTTTATAGGGTCGGAAATACCTCCTTCACCGCATTGCAAGCTTTTGACTAAAATTATTACACCCTGCAAGGGTATTAAAAAACGTAAAGTTGTAATTTAAAAATAGTTGGAAATTAGAAAATAGATAGAACAATAATTGAACAGCTGCCGTGCCGACTAATTGCCACAAAGCGCCACTCGAGCAGTCAGTCACTCTCTGAGTTATTCAATCTGTCAATTGCATGCTTCAATTTAACTCGCTACACTAAAAAACCGACCTAGTAACTATTGGATAATTACTTTTAGTATAGGTTTTTAGAGTTTTTAGTTCTTCCCCCCATAAATTTCAATTCTTCAAAGATTTTGAGCAGACCTTGAATGTAATTATAGCTTTCGTTTAAGAAATACTTTGTAAATCCCCTAAATATAATTTTCTATACGCCCTTTCCTGTCACCCTTTAAATCTTAATAAATTACTAATTTTAGGGCCCTTTTAAGGTGTTCATATTTTATTTAAGTGTCCCAAGTGCGAACCCAAAATCACTTACTGCGTTGCACTTTTTTATTGCATTCTAATATTGTGAGTTCTGCGGACTGGCGGAAAAGTAAACAGAAACGTGTCGATGGCAAAGAATGTAAACACAGAGTTGGGGCAGTTGGGGTTTCATTTCATGAGGGGGGTGCTGTGCATAAAGGGGGGTCCAACGAAAGGGCGAAGCAGCCACAGAACAGCAACACGTGTCGCTGGCGCAACTCAAGTTCAAAATGGCGTCAAGTGCAGTTAACATTGCAAAATGTGTGACGAATGAGGGACAAAAAAAAGAGGGGAACTGCATTGATAATGAGCGAGTGATAAAGAGCACAGCAAAAATAAGAGTGATTTTATTAGGAAATTATAAAGAGAAATTTATTGGTATTGAATGAAATCAGTTAAGGTGATGCCCAAAATGATGCTATGCCTTTACAAATTATTCTTAGCATTTCCTGTGCCATTTTTCATAATATCATTGCATACTTTTAGATGCCGTTTTTAAAGCTTTCAAAACTATAATAAATTTATATTAAACAGAGTTTTTACTAGATTTTTAATAATGCAGAATTAATATTTTAAATATTCTCTAACAATAATTCCCCATATATACCATTTACAAAGCGTGCTAGCCCATACCATTATATAAAACCGAATGACAACCAATTTCACACACGAAACGATTACAAAATAAATATATATACACACACACACTCCCCTATCGATTTTGCATTTGCATTTCCTGCCGCCCCAATGCGAAATACTTATCTCGTACAATTAGCCAAAAATAAATAATGCAATCATTTTCTGAGAATATTTGGGCTATTAAATATTAGATAAGAGCCGTGATTTCTGGAACTGCGCAAAAGTTTCAAAACGCTGTAAGACCAAATAACCATCAGTGGCTGTCATTTAGCGAGAAAGGTGTATAATTTATGGCAGGTATTTCCCGATTTCGCACGCTCCTCCAGAGCGATAAGGAAACCTATTAATTAGTGGGCGCTATCTTGAGAAAATCTCAGTAGCTTTACAGTTACTGGTTAAAAGATTGTGTGACTAATCTGGAGAGGGTGACGTCTTTGCCCGGGCATGACGATAGTGAGATTACCATCCCTTTCCTTAACCCTTTTCCGCTTCCAGAACATGGCTAATGACTAAGAAATGCCGCATTCTAAGGTGCACAGGTATTTCGTGTGCTTTTCCAATTAAAAGTACGGCGGCAATGGTATAGCCCATATATAGCGGCGATTCGATGCGAACTCCGTAGCTGCCCCAACCTGGCGTGCCATTGAACTTATGTAAGCGAAAATGTGGAAATAGAAGTGGAAACCGAAGCAGCAAACGAAAAACGAGAACGAAACAGCAAAAACGAAAACGGCAAACGACAACAAATTGCAATGGAAAATTTTTATATTTGTTTGCAAAAAAAAAAAAAAACAGTGACAAAAAACTGCATTTGGCGGCAGGCAGCAGACAGTTTGCACAAAAAAATGAAATATGCAAGCTGCAAACTGCAAGCCGAGAACTAATTTGACATCAGGGGGAAATCACGTGGCCGAGGGTTCAGTTCCCCGGAAAATTGTCGTCAATCTGTAAGTTATTAGTTTAGCAATCGGTCAAAGCCGACAATAAACAGAGATCTATTTGCCTAAATGCGATCATACAGCTCACCCTCTGGGGGGATGAGTAACGCCTGCTGGCGCCTGCAATTACCGGCAATTGTTGATAAGATATATCGGGTATATCTCTACGAATCACGAGTACTTTGAATTTGTTAGATAGGTTGCATGGTCTTAAATTTTAACTGTTAAATTGGAAGGCTTTCGCTTCGTGACATTTTTAATTTGGAATAAGTTCAATAGATTGATTGGGTGTCAGTTTGGAAAGAGACATTGTGCGGGGGCCTTTAATAATAATTTATATAATATTTAGAAAAATCATGAAAAGAAAACTAGAAAGTGTACATTTTTATCTATATTAATATATATTTTAAAGAGGCTTTAATTTTGGGACTTTTTAATAAGTAAATGCCAATGAAGAGATCGAATTAGTTACCGATAGATACGCTTTTTTTCCCACTTAAATATGAGATTAAATTTATGTGAATAAATGATAACTGAGAAAAATTTTGTATTTATTCATTCTAACATAAAAATAATAAATTTTATAAATTATAATAATTATTATTAGAAATAAAATATGAAATCTCATTTTTTTAAATATTAAAAAATTATAAATTTATATCAGTTTAAAATATTTTTTCTATTTTTTATTGCTCACATTACTATTAATATATATTATTATTTTAGAACCTCATATGATCTCATTTCCTTATCATGTAGTGCCTTTAAAAATAATTTCTAGTTTTGAAAACAAAAAAAAATATATATTTATTCGGATTTTATGACTTTCTGACAGAATAATGACAATTTAAGTGCGTAATTATTATGCTTCCCTTAATGACTTAGAGTGACTATACATTTTATAGTAAAAACAGAAAATAAGGCACTTTTTAAATACATCAAACGATGTCTTGGTCATTATTTCTTAAATATAAACTATTCCAATTAATAAATATTTACAGTAACGGGGATATTGCCCCTGCTAGCCAATTAATTTATATAACCCTCGCGAATCATCACCGATCCAGTTCGATCGGCAATTCCACAGTTTGATCCAAATAACATTACAAGTTGTCACGGCGAAATTGGATCAGTTCGGATGGGATCGGATAAATGAGAGGGTATTAAGTGGATCGATCGCCGAGACACACGGTTTCTAGAACAAAGTCCCCCGATTGTTTTCACCTGTAATGCTATAACCCAAAGGGAGAGCCTCGTGGAGAGGTCTCCTCCGTTCTAGAGTACTTTGTAGTTCGGTTTCAAGTGCAGGCTGACGCAATATATTGCCATTATAGAGTGACTTGGTCCCAGAATAATAAAGAAAATAGAGAAGTAGAAGTCTAGCTGTGTTCTGTCGATTTTCTTCCATTGGCCACACTCCCCGCGGTCAGTGGAAAGTTACCGAGTCTGAAACAAAAAACCTACGGCAGCTCAAATTTATGCCAGACCAAAAAAATAAAAATAAAAATTAAACTCTACTCTGCCAATTCAGCGAATTCCGAACTTTGTCAACTTTGGCGCTTGCGCAGCAGCCAAAAAAATAAATAAAGTAAAAATGCGAGAATATTCCACATTAAAACCATTCCATATCGTGAACTCGAAACCCCGAAAAACGCTGACACAGTAGGTAGGAAGATATATGTAACCGGCTATAACCGGTAGACCAAATGCCCTAAACACAAAAAAGAAAAACCATTATGGGCAAGTCCGGGCAGACATAAAAGTGCAGCGCGGCGAGTGGAAAATTCCACTGGGACAGGAACAATAAGGCCTAGGAGAGCGAGGCGGGGGTGGAAAACTGTTTGGATGGATGGTTACTCATAACAACACACACCGAAAAGTACAAAAAGTACAACAAAAACAAGGTGAAAAAGGAAAGAACCGCCGAAATCATCCCCGAAATTAGGCTTCAGTTTGTTATCAATCCAAACAAACATTAACCCAGAGAGATTTGCATAAACAATCAGTCAAACGAAAGCAACTATAAAGCAAGGCGGGCAACCATCGATCAATAAATAAACAAGGCATTAGAGGGTTAAGACTGCGGTTGAGACTCTTGAGCCCCCGTTTCGGGAGAAGGTGTCACATCATCACATGTCCGTGGAGGAAGCCTCTAAGCCTTTATGCCAAATTTAAAGGCCCGACAAGTCATAGGAAACTTTTACCGCCGGCAAGTTATTATCGTTTGTCGATGATATGCATATATATATTTAAATTTGCAAGAATTGCTATGATATCAGGGGATTTCTTGGAGGAAATTGGAATTAACTTATAGTCGATCTATGAAGGATCTATGTGTCATCTACAAAGGTTTTAAGACATATTTCTTAGGTGAAACAGCTACAAATATTTAGATATACAGGAAGATATTTGTTTATGTAAAAAGATAATACTAAAAACTAATATAAGTATTTATTCTAGAACCTTTGCCTGGGTCTTAGAAATAATTAACGTACAATTACAAAATTCTATAAAAAAGAAAATAAACTTTTAAGCCAAGAAAACGTGGATTAGTTTCTTTAAAAGAAAGAAAGGAAAGTTAAATAATAGTCATAAGAAATATACTGCATATTAACTTTGAAAATCTCTTAGGAAGATGAGAAAATAGCTTCGAGAGCTCCTTAAAGTCCTTAAACATACTCTAATAATCATTTAATAATTAAAACCTTTTAAATAAAAAGTGGATAACTGAGGCAGAAACCCCTAGAACTAAAGAAAGTCTAAAAACACAAGTAAAAATCAAATTTAAAATACCAAAAATAGAAAATCAAGACAGCAAGCCAATATATAGAAGAATATTCCCTTTGTTTATCATAATCAAATTTTACTTACAGTGTACTCAGTGGGCGCCAAAGGCGTCCGACTATCGCTCTTATGGAAACTCATAGCGCCGATAGTGATAATGGTAATAATGGAAATAGTAATCCTGGCTTAGCCGATGCAGGATCAGGCCGTTGGGGGTTACGATCCTGGTGCGCGGAATGACACTCGGCCACCGAGTGGCGGCTGGCCGGATCCCAAGCACTTGTTACGATACAAAATAGAATTTAATGGGATAGATTTAATAGCAATGGTTGAGACACGGCTGAGAGTGGGATTTGAAGTTGGAGAGTGGACAATAGAAAATGCAATATTACTAATGCAACTTGCGAGAGTGACCGTGACCGTGACCGGAACTGGGGATCGCAGATTGCGGAGATTTCATTAATTGCAAAATTCGAGGGATTTATGATGCTCTCTTATTCCTATTTCCGAATTTCAGATTGCAGATTCGATGCGATTCGATGGAGTTGCGATCCGAGCAACCGCGCGGCTTGACAAACAGAACAAGAATGCCAACCTTTGCACTAAAACGGGCGAGTAAGACCCGCCAGCCGATTCCCATTCCGATTTCCCGAAGAGGGAAAGCAATATAGTTGTGACGCGACAAGCGAAAGAGACAGCCGAGCCGAACCTAGCCGAGGGTGAGAGTGAAACGGCGAGCGAGAGAAAGAGAGCTCTCGCATTTTCCGTTGTCAGTTCAAAAAATTGTTAAATTTATCGACGATTTTCAAGTTTTCCTTGGGGATTGGGCTTGCAAAAAAAGGAAACCTGCCGCAGCTTTTATGGGATTTTTTAGTTCCGGCGAAACATTATTATAATGCGTCACAAGTTGCATTAAATATCGGTTCAGATAAGGCTACACAAAGGGAAAATCATAGCGAAATAGCTATTTATACGCCCCAGTAACTATTTAAATATGTAAAGTAATTTGTTTCAAATATATTGTAGATCTAAAATAGAAGGTTAAGGTTAAATCATTGTTTATATTCATGTAAAATATCTTAAGCCAAAGGATGATGACAAATATCTTAAACAAATAATTTTCTGTGCCAGCCAATAATAAGTGAATCAGTTTTCCGAAAGCTCAAACACCCCAGATAAGGCTCATAGATAACTGAAACAGCCGGGAAAACTGGAATAGTCCGCTAATTAATTAGCGATAAGACTCGCAGAGATGACTGCCTCTGCGACTGCCTCAATTGGCTGCCAATTGAAACGTGCGACCCCCGGGAGTGAGCCTCAAAAAAAAAATTCACTTGATTGCCAAAAATACACGTCAAGGCTGGAAAAGGCAAGAAAAGAGCGGAGTGCGAATCAGTCACTTGCTGAAAATTGAAATCAATTTGATTTCTCATTTCACTTCTGCGTCGCGTTCATTTGCGGGGTAACTTGAAACGTGCGCCAACTGCAGCAGGTCTGATGTTCTGTCTGCGCCCATTAAGGCCCCCTTCCGCTGCCAAACCCCCCCTTGAAACTGGATCGAAGCGGTTCCATTCCTGGCCCATTTGATTTATGAAAATATTTGCAATTTTCCTGACAAGCTGGCGAATTCCACTCAAACTTGACCGAGTTTGGGCATCTGGGCAAGGGATTAGATTGAAGCAACCTTGCATTGGACTTGAATCAATAGATAATTGAAGAATAATTTATTCAAATGTCAGTTTAAGAATTTAGGCCAGGTCATGCAAAGGTTTTGTATTTCATTTTTAAAAAAGTAACCAACAAAAATATCAAAAGGCGGAAAAAATAAAGTTGCCTACTTTTAGGATGTCTCATCAGAGTTGGCCTCTGGCACAAAGCCTTATTACACAGGGTACCCGCTAGGTGGCGTACAAGTAACATTGCCTGCTGCCTGACATTGCTCATACGCCCCCCAGACCGAAAATAAGCTGAAAAAAATACACTTAAATTGGGATTATATTCGCAACGAAATGCTCTCCTTAATTTGTGTGACCTCTGCTGCCGATCTCCGCGGATTTAGCTACTTAACTTATAGATAAAAATAAACACAAATAACAAGTGCAGCTTTCACAGAGCAAAATCAGAATCAAGTCGTACTTGAAAGCTAATTTACGGCAATCTCAATCCCCGTGGCAGTTGACAGGCGCGTTATTTAAGCAATTTGCATATGCAAAAATAAAATACACCAAAACGCACCCTGAAATTGGACTGCCAAAACGGGTTTCTGCTCCAAACAAAGAGATATGATGTTCGACGTAATTGTTTGCAATAAAAACAGCGCAGGAAAAAGATCGGGCAGGTATTACCTAAGTCACACACACACACGCCCCGCCACTTGGCATGCACATGGCATACAAATATATAATACACACGCAGAGTTCATCCATCACAGCGTCAATCCTTGGGCCATTCACAAAAACACTTGCGGCGAAAAACCCCCAAACATGACACTCAAGCTCGGGTTGTTGACTTTGAGCGGCCAAGCTCAATTCATTAATTTCACACACAACACTTGGGAATCCTCACTTCCCTCACACCTTGGAAATGCTCACCTTTAAAGGATTTTTGTGGGCCTCGAACTCCTGGAAATATTTAATAAGCAGCACAACTAACGCACTCAGTTCAAGAATCTAAACTAAAAGACTCCGCCAATCTGAGCCGCCAAGTAACCACTTGTCCGTGAAGCAAACGGATAAGAATTCCCTATCTGGATAGGTGTATCCGCGAATAAGTGAAAAAATAAATCAGGGCCACGGGGCAAAGTATCCATCCACCTGCAGCTCAATGACGCTATTGATTATTAATTCTAGTCTGCCGATAGCTGATGATAGGTGACTGGGAAAGAAAGATCTGAGGACCCGCTTCCTACGAAACCTCATAGCGCATGTTAATTTAATTAAAAATCCATGTATTCCCCAATGCAAAAATAGCCGCTGGCCGTGATAAAGCCAATAGATAAGCCGCATTCGGAACAGTTTTAGATATTTCTATAAATACTAAGGGGGCGGGGTAGAAACACCCTCAATATGAATCATTCCTGGCGAACTTTTGAAAGGTTTTCAACTGGATTGAGCTGGGATAGTGTACTATGTATATAAAGAGTTGGCTATCTCCACTTGCTTAGCTAACGAGTTTTATAAGTAATTACACTTGAAGTCAATGTCGATTCCATCGTTCTTCGCTGATCCGCTTTTTGTGGAAGAGTCACTCTTAGGTAACAGACACTTGATGACTGCCAGGGGCTTAACCAAATCCCACAGCAAACAGGGGAGCACCCGATAAGGCCGCTGGCCTAATATCATTTCGCCGTGTTTACACCAGCCTAATTGCAGTCTCAAGTGATATACGGTGGCATGCCGAACATAAAAACCAATTACTTTGTTGTGTCTCACTGAACTGAACTGGCTAGTTGATTAGCTCTGGGTGGGTTGTGATTTTTCGTTATTTATTTTCGATTTTTCTGCGATTTATAAGGCTTATAAATCATGTCTGTGGATCACAGGATTTATCTTTGATATACACATAAATTATATCAGAATATTTCTGGGATGACAAACGAATTTCCCTCTAATCGTTCTTGTTTTGTACTAATCTGGGGTGATTATCAATGGAACAAATACAAGGGCATTGCAAAGAATTTTTATAGATTTTCAAAAATAGCTCGTTAAGTGGTATAATAAAGTGGCGTAATTAGAAAACAAAAGCATATTTTTCAAAGTAATGAATATATCTCTCACTTTTCATTAGATTGTTGATCATAGTTTTCAAGAATACAACTTCCATATTATTTTCTTTATGTTTATAAACGATCTATCATAATTTCCATACAATCCACTTATCACCACAATTTCAAAGATGATTTTGCATTATTTTTGCCAATAAAATTCCTCCGTTTAAAATGCCATAATTGATTTCTGATTTATCTGTGATTAACAAGCGATATTGCCCCAATTTGATGACCGACCGCGACCGAATTCCGTTTTAATCGATCGATATTGCATTAACCTGGTATCTGGTGGGACTGATATCAGTTGGGAAACACTCTCGGTTTGAATTACGCTTACGAGGCACTTACTGTATCGCAGGCTGCGCCCGATCCGCTAATCACGGCTATAGTCATATTGCCACAATAAAAACGGAACCGCGCGGAGAACAATTAAATCGAGTATACGCCGCGTTAGCCGCCGGAGTCGAACTTGGCGCTGTTGGTTGTTTGTGGAACGATCGGCGGGCACAGAATAAAAGCGCGAATCTGGTCAGACATTCAATTTAAAACAAAAGTTGGCACTGGCACTTGGCAGTGGCAGTGGCAGTGGATGTGAGCCTCTATATCTCGATCCCAAAGCTCTCGGAACCCGCTCGAGTGTACCGCTTTAGCCCCCTACCGATCTCCGTCGCACGGAGCACTTGGCAATGTCAGCGGTTAAGCAGTAACATTAACATTGAGTCAGTCATAAATATACCTGCTCCGGAGATTGGGCATGGGGATTGCGGGTGATGGTACACATATGCCATACGGAAAACATGATGTGTTTAGGCTCTTTTATTGCAATTCCACACTGACTCGGCCCAGACAGCGGAACGTGAGAAATAACTCAAATCCAGAGACAGACGACAGCGGACAGTTGACATTTGTTGGCAGCCGTTGATAAAGATGTCGTCGATCTTGTAGGCCAGTGCACGCCTGCTCGGAATTCTTATCTCCGAGATAAACTCAAACTAATGGGGGAGTTCTCTGTCGGTTTTAGCTGCGATTACCTGCCAAAGCTTTTGTGATAATTAACCCACGAGTTCCTGTTCTCGTTTCTCTTTTTGTGTTGAGGAATTCCAAAAATGCGACCTAAAGCCCGTTCGAAGACTGTCATTAACGCTTGAAACTGAGTTTTGGCACACAAAAGATTTAAGCCATAATTTGCAACCCGGTCATGACTTTTAAGGCAAATTAAAGAGCTTCAGAATTTACAGACATTCAATCTTTCTATGATTTTTTAAATATTTCTTTAAATTTATTTGAAACAATCTCTTTGAAATTTCTTAAATATAAATTTCTACATTCAATTTGGAAACAGGAAAATTTTCGGAGATTCGAAGCGGAATCTATAGGCAAACTTACAGTCTCTGGCGTTGACATGGCGAGAAGAGAGGACCTTAGACCTTGCACCAGGAACCTAAAGCCTGGAAACCTTTCACCCTGACCGGGCCGGGATCAACTGATCCGAACCCATGGACAGGGCAATGGTAAACTCTGATCTGCATGCAAAAGCCGGCACTGCGAGCAGCACAGCAGGCAGCAGAAACTGTGTCACCCTCAATTCCCACTTCCTTCAACGGGCCTGAGCCAACCCCAATCTAATAATAATAATAATAAATCAGCACTCATCAGCACTGGGCAGCACTCGGCAGCAGTACAGAGGTGTCCGAGTGTCCCAAATGGGAATGGGATTCGCTCTTTTGTGCGCAATTCGTGATTGAAAAAAACGCATAGCGCCTAAAACTGTTTAGAGCCTCAAATTGAGAATAACAAAGCAATTTTTCAATTGAGCTGCCA